ATGTAAAAGGTACATGAGCAGATCTTAGAGCTAGCGATGACACGGGACCACGTTATCTCGACGTAAAGCATTGCATGGAATATACCTACGCACCAGATTATAAGGTGCAACGAATGGCAAAAATATTAGTTAAATGTCTAATGTTTACTGCATTAGCGATGGATCTTATATCGTTTTGGTATTTTAGGGTTCTGCTCCACCCTCGTTCAACTAATTGTAGACGACGATAAACAGTAAGCTGGGATTGTGCTTCTTTTTTCCAAACGTTGTTGATAATTCGCATAAAATGGCTTCTAGATAAGTCGTCCCCCGTTTTGTACTTTTCTATAGATTGTAGTTTTTAATCAAAATGATGTTTGTCTCGTAGCAAGTGTGAAGCATGACAACTAGAGCCCAACGTTGTTATATGGGGTGAATGTGTATGATTTAGCACAATAAGCTTGACCTGCTTTGTTCAAGCAGTATCATTAATATGTGTGTAAGGCAAATTTTTAGTTACGCAGTAATATACGAAGCACGCCAGCTGCTAACTGGCTCTTCGATCGAAAGGACATTTTCGAATGAACTTTCTAGAATAAAGATATATGTACGCGTTGCTGAAGTGTGGCCAACTTCAGAAGGCTACCATGACGACGACGACGATGACTTTTAAGCGAGTCAAACTAGATGCGGCAAAGGAATACAACGAAGAGCACAAGCGTCGAGTTGTCAGAAACCACCAGAAGTTTGTTCATGTTGACTCCACAATCTTAGCCCCTTCCTCGCCCTCTTCTACTAACGTTAAGCTCCGATATGTATTATTGAAGTTCGTTGTTTGAAGTCATTAAAAGCGTAAATGAAACATGTAAGCACCGTTAACACTGATGGCTATGTTACTTATGGCTTTTACGCTGACAACTAACTGTAGAGAGTCCCGCTCTATAATGAAGCCGTCGTAGCAGCTATCATCCATTACAGTGATGGGGTGCCATGCGCAGACGATAGAAGCGTCGATAGTGTCTAATCCACGACGACTTCCTGTTCAGCAGCAGTATCCTGAGTAACTAACGATATTATTATATTACTACTGAATTATAAGTTAATTAACCGTGATCATCACATCGTGCTATCAATATACCCTTAAACTGATCGTGTTCGACGCTGCTTTGTACAAAATAAATTATGATACAGGAGCAATTATACTTGTTCTTGTTTGTACTTGCAAGAGTCCGGCTAGTAAAAGGCCGGTGACCCCCCAAGGCTTCAAGTCGTTTCCTTACGAATAAACTGAAGTAGCAGTCTCAGATTTTCGTTGTCAACGTTGTTATTATTAACTTATGCTGTGTCCATTCTTGACCTAAAAGTATGAACGTCAGTTTTTCTTTTTTTTTTCTCGAAATCACGTCTATTGATGTCACCACTGTCTTCCACAGCGAATTATCTCGTACTAAAGAAAATTTAATTGATTGGAGTCGGGTTAGTTTTTTTGCTAAACTTTCCTTACTGTAGTATACGCATTGCACTATCACTACGATTTAGTTGCCCCCTGTGTTGGTCCGTCACCCTCTTTTAGCGATTTAATCACATTAACCCTATATATAGATTGCCTAGTAGTCTTGTGTCTCCGAGGCAGTGGCGAAAACCGAGCACGGAACACTGAACATTTTTTACTATGTTGTCTTCCACGAATCCGAAAAAGAAATCTTGAATAAAATTACCGCGAAGTCTTAACTAGCTATTTTCTATGGAGGTCATTTGTCTCAAGATAGCAGATTTACTGAGTGCTTGCTTGGGCATAAACCCCTCAGCTATAGTATGTGACGCGAAAACATCGGGATAACTGTCCTGTTGCCTTTTCACGAATCTACACCGGGTACAGCGTGGCAATTTATCTCCACGCGATAGCATAAAAGTTATCTACTTACAGTCACGTTGTTTTTATTACAATGTTTTTTTTTTTTTTTTTTTTTACGATAAACCTATGCGCGAAAGTTTACAGAAATCTATAACGCCGTTCCCGCCATGCTAAGCGTAGACACACCTATATATGAATAGGTATATATTGGAAAAATTTTTATTTACTTGAGGATGTCGAACTACCATTACTGCTGCAATTGCTTCTCACTACTTCTAACGATTGATTTGCTAAGATGAAGCGAGTTTTGGTGGTCTATAAGACTTCCGCAATGGAAAACTCAGTAGTAGCTAATTTGGTCACATTCATATGGGCGTTTTCGTGGGATTTTTTGTCAAAAGTATGTTATGATCCTCAAAAATGGGTTGAAATAACATTTTAAAGAGTTCTCTCGGGTTAATCGGTTGAATCTAAAGTAGCCTTATTAGGCCAATTCTAGCATTGTAAACATAAAAATATTTTTTCATCTATTCCTAAACATAGACTCCAATAGGATACAGCCAACTTTTGCTCTTGCAAATCAATCTAACAAATAAGATAACAATAGATTAAGGTAAATCCTTTGGTTTTAGAAACGACAGTGGAACTGCTGCTGCTGCTGCTGCTGCTGCTGCTCTTTGAAAGAATATCAATATCCCTGCGAAAATAACATTATTTTTATTAGAAATCTATAACGGAAATTTCTCAAGTTGATCTAAAGCATTCAAAACATTAAATTTGGAGAAGTGGGTTATTGCGTTTTTAGCTGCCCCATGTTTTATCCCAGCTGACATGCTATTTGTAGAATCGTAGGGCTTCCGCTGTAGCTACATCGTAACAAAAAAGTATCTATCGTCACACGGTATATGCTTGTTTAGTTGATATCTTAGACGATTCAAGATGCTGAAGAGTTGATCATGTTGATGAATGCTTCGTAAAATTCAATTGTTCAAAAACATTCGAAATTCGAAGAGTATATACCTCCTCTATCTCTCTAAATGAGGCTAGGAAAGCAAGTTGTAAAGATGGCCAAATTCCGAGTGCCAAGCTTGGCAAAAAGGCCAGCTTACCCTGTTTAGTGGATATTAACTTTTTTTTTTTTTTCATCTAATCTATATTATATCCACGATCGAATCTACAATCTGATCATAATAATCTAAGAAAATGTATCGTAGGTAATATAACTCCTAGATATTGTAAACGAGATCAGCATGTAAAAGGATCTCTAGTACGAATCATAGAAAAGATTTTACACGGTAATTGGGTAATAACAAGATCCTTATTGAATTCCTAAGTGCGTTCATATATATATGCGTGGAACTCTGCAGTTTTCAAACGAAAACCTTTGCACACATCTATATAAATTAAAGTCGGTGTTTTTTGGCTACCGCAGACAACTGTAGTAGTACAGACAGATGCTTTCCTGTATCGCGATAACAGGGACATTCTTATGCTGCACGCCACTTTGCTTTGTCCTGTTGTTGAACTAAGGTGTCATCATCAAGGAGCATCATGTTCAACGACAACAATGTTTGTACTGCACAAATACCTTCACATTACTTTATAACCAAATGTTGTGTCTCCTTAGGGATTTCAGTCATAGCCTTAATTAGTTGCACCTTGTTAAGCGGGTAGAACAAATAATGAAACAAACTGTAGTGCTGCCTTTTCGACATCTATTTGCGAACACCAATATATATATATAAAAGTAGGTTGACGTTTGAAAATGTTTGTGATACGTAATAGTTATAATCGTTGATGAGCGAGATCACTTTGATGTCACACGTATTTCGCGAAGCCCCCTGTAAAGAACACCGATTACTTCAGTAAATAGGTAGGTCTCTAAACTCACAGCCCTACAAACATTCTATGGAGCTTCATCGCTGTGGTAGGGATTGGAAGTGTAACTTCGTGTTTACTTAGCGGCCTACACGATTGCGGAAAAATAGTGAACACGTGTTGTGTTGTGATATTATCGATAGATAGAACGCAGACGATACGAAAACGGGGCCCACTCACATGTAGGCCTATGTCGACTTTCTATCGTTTGCCGGTTTACACTGTATTGGTTGGGTCGCTGGGTTTCCTTCCCGTACAGAGAGACACACAATAAACGACGATTTTTCGGCGGATGCCTCGAATGTCGTCCGAGGAACTTGCCTGAGAAAAATTGAGCCAGCGAGCTATACTACCATGAGCTGGGATGTAAATAGTGCACACTGCTTCCAAGTAATATTGCGGATTTTCACGATCTGCGAACTCCTTTGCATTCTTCTTGACGCAGACGCTTGCAAGCTCTTCACGGTAATAAGCAATGGCAATATGAACAGCGTACATCATCAGTGGCAGCCGGACAAAGAGGGCCAAACCTAATGTTCCACACGGCTTTTGACGACGTAGGCATCTGTAGAGCCGATGCCACTGCTGCTGGGCTGATGAGTTATATACCATTGTGCATACCAAGTCAAGGTGGGGTACGTGTCAACAATCTACCCAAAAACAACATAGGCAAAGGAGTAGGACGAAGTAGTCTATGAATGCCCGTGCTGTGAACATAAATATTCGATCGACCTGTCATGCCACTACATAGCGGGATGATAATAAAAGTAAACGAAATATATGCCTAGCCAGGTACTTAGGTTGCCATTTATATTCTAACATGATAACTTCTTTAAAGGTGTCGAGTCTGTAACGGGAATTTATTAATATTAGTACGCGTATTATGTGTGTTGTGGAGGCGAGAATTTTACTTTGTAAAAGCCCAAAATAAAACAGGGCTTCTAGAAGCTCCATTGTTATACTCGATCAGCCAGAGTCTAGATAATTTACACATTTGACACATTAATGATTGATAAACTAACAAATGTTGTGCTTATGTTTGGCAATCTTATATGCAAACAAGATGTTTCTGTGCACTACAAGAGTCTCGTAGATAAGTTTAAAAAGTCGTACGTTCTAGTTTGATCTTTGATAACTTTTTGCAGTACTGCCAATATGTATGGATTTTCGCTAGACCCGAGGATCCTGGACAACCGCCGCACAATTTTCACGATGCTCACACATATATATATATTAGTTTTGGGATATATATACATATATAGGACGTTTTTAAAATATGAGATATATATAGTGATGATAAAGTAAATAAAGATGCTTTTATTTGCTATATCTTTGTACGGAATCAAGTAATATCATATCATTGGCTTTTCCTTAAAGTAACAAAAAAATCTTAAAATAACAAAGACTACTCGACGCAGCTTGTTCATTGTCGTTTCTATATGCTTGTCAGCTCGATCGAATAAAGAGGGATAAGGGTAGCTCTCCCGCTCGTTGCCTCGCATCGCTTCCTAGATTCTATCTTGAATTTGGTCTACCTCGGTTGTGCAATAGCTCAGTTCTTTTCTTCTTCCTTCAATGAGAGGGCAAAAAGGACCTACCTAACCTAATCCTAAATCCGAATGGCCTTGGTTTGTCGACGTAGGCTAGCTGGCCGGGCAGTTTTAGCTATGGGTGAGTTATACAGTGGCAACGATGTCATGATATGATACACGAGTGGGTTACGCTTATCCCAGTTAGCTGGACATTACGGCTCCAATCATAAGCACCACCGTGGTACGTCTGCCACATTCTGTTCCCTGTATAACGCGAATGGATCTTTGAAAAGATCGACTCCTCATAGCAGCGTTGCTTCTTTTATCTGTTAGATGATTTTTTTGGCAAAAGAACACTATTCTGGTTCTGCTGGCAATAGACGTCGCTCTCGCTAGCGTAGAGGCAGTATCAGTAGCTATAGCAGAATCGCTACTTCACAGTAGGCGCAGCGGTTCTCGTTAGAACGTGTCATAGGCTTCTTTCCATACTCCACTGCCTTTGGCATCACGCATTAGAATTGATGATAGTCTTCAGCTATGGGCGATGGCGGGTGGCAGACGGCGCGAAAGGAGGCAAAATCGAATCTTAGCTGGGACTTTTTGAGTTTAAATCTGCTTTCGAATAGTGGCAGGAAACTACTGTTATATACCAAAGTTGAATGTCAAGCAGCGGAAGTCAAACAAGTAAAAAAATATTAAGTATATATATATATATATATATAAGTAAAAAAAATTAAAAGGCCCAGTCGAGAAGAGCCGACGAAAGAACGAATATGGTCTTCAGGGTTATTCGTTTTAAACTATTAGATATTATATATGATAATTTTTTGTTTTGTAATTCCTAAGTTGTTTCTACTTTCCATATATAAAGATATACAACAAATAAGCAAAAATGAAAAAAAAAGTGAGAGTTCTACCTTAGTTTAGAACCGAACCTTGCGGAGAGTAAAGCACCACCGTTTTTATATGCATCTGTTTATGTGCTTCAGTTTTGAATTACAGCGGACACGTATTTCGGAAGTTATGACGCGCTTTGTTTGGTACTATGATGACATACAATATATGTTCAGAGAAGCTGGTTTCCACGAGTGAACTACGCATAAGAGCACTATGACGGACTTCGCAATCTAGTTTATTCAAATGATATTTTGTGCTGTGAACCAAAATTATTAAACGAATTTTAAGGATCAACGTTACGGCCCGGAAGTAACTACCATGAGTTGCCCCTCAACGATGTCTTGACCCCCCATGAGGAAGCTCTAGCGTTTCGACCTAGTTTGAATATTCTCCCATCTCGTCAGTTAATTTCCCGTTTCAGTGAAGGCTCTTAAAGGACTTAAGAAAACGATGAAAAAGTTAGACCATATAACGAACAATATCTCATCAAGTTTCAGACGGATCGAACCTTTTAGTTCTGTGTGTAACATGCTGATTGGACGATTTCACCTACCCCCTCCACTGAAGTCTACTACGTAAAGCTTTGCGTAATTCACAGTTAAACTTTCTGTATATAACTTAAACTTGGTTTTGCAAAACCTCTTCATCTCGTTTCCCTGCTCCGTTGCCTTCCGGGTCGTGCAATGTAAGATTTCTTTCCGTTTGGAATTCTATGTTATTTTTAATTTAATTGAGAATATATTGCTTAATCTATGGTATCCATTGATGTAGTCACACTGTTGTTTGGGGACCGTTGACTGCGAGCGATGTCGTTCGATTAGTAACGGAGGCGTTATTCATCTATAACAACGAACCCGAATGGGCGACATTGCGCAGCTTTATAAGAATCGACATGTCACTTCTCTCAAAGTATAGCCCGTTTTCCGAAGAGGAAGCTAATGATGCAAATGTCAAAGTATATTCCCCTTCCGGGGACAGCTTCTGCATGAATAACGTGCTGCATACAAAGGAGAGCGTGCTAGAAGCCATTGAGTTATTGAACAAGCTTGGGAACTCGTTGAAGACGATTGTTCTTAAAAGTCGTTTCGTGCATTTCGCTGATGACGTTGATAATAATTGCACGATGCTTCTCAAAAGCATACTTCAGCACAGTCCGTCATTAAACCACCTACATCTTCAGGGCATTCCACTACAGAACAAAATTTTCATTGAGCTGCTTCATAAGTCACACTTAAAAACATTGGTGCTCGATAGTAACGGCTTGGACAGTAACATATTAAGCAATCTAGATGTGTACCTTAAGGCTGGCTTGGAGGAACTACGAATCGAAAAAAACACTGTCAGAGGAGCAGCAGTAAATGCGGTAGCAAGATTACTTAGCCAGTGCAGTGTTCTTAAAAAGCTTTCATTGCAAAGTTGTTCTCTCCAGTCCACCGCCATGGAGAAGCTCTTAAGCACGATTAGCTCCTCATTAACCGGCCTTGTCGAGTTGAATCTCTTTGATAACGACGTCGGCCAAAACAGCCATTTACTTACCAATAGTCTCGAGCAATTTATTCATCTACGAAGTGTCAACCTCGGTGCTTGCAGTCTAACGGATGGCGCTGCCGTCGCGTTCATGACTAAGTTCCAACGACTTAAGGTCGAGTACGTCAATTTCTCATCGAATCTCATCACAAAAGGGGGCTGTAATGATATTCTGAAAGCTCTTCGTGGTTCAAAGATTAAGACACTCGTACTCTGGGGCAATCCATTTTGCGTTGCCGAAAACAGTGCGTATATAATTCGGCAGGTGGAAGTTCTGATAGCTGAGTACAATATCAAAACGCGGCTGATATGGAAGCGTCATGACCAGCCAGAGCGAATGGAGGAGATCCGTCGTCGGCTAGACTGGAGTGAAATTGAACTATTCATCAATAAACCTAACTTGGAAATGTTCATTAGGATACGAAATGTGCCTGAGAAGACTTTTCTTTATCTTCGCAATTTTCAGCAAGCATCATTGAAATCCCTGGTCAATTTACTGTTCAATATATTGAAATTTTATTGCGATTTTCATGACCAAATCGAACACCGCAGCTCGATGATCGCGCCGAACTTTCTCAAGCAAGATGTCATTAGTATGTGTGAGCTCGTATTGTTCTGTTGCCTAACGCCAATTTTCTCAAAAAGAGCTACAGAAGACGATCTAACGCTGGAGATAGCATCGCGACTGTCTGCTTCCACTACGCCGAGCGAGGACACTAAAGGTAATCTGCCTGCCACACGACTGTTGTGCAAAATCAGCGAACAGAGATGGGTCCCTCAAAAGCTCCGTTTGGAATTGGCCGAAATTGCACGAAAAAAAATGAGCATCCCTCAACGTCGCCACTTATAACTTTGTCGCAGAAAGCGTGCACTTCTGATTTGCTTTTCTTTGAGACGAAAGTAAACATATTTTCAAGTACAAAACAAAGAGAGTTAATTTGATGACAGCCAATGACTTAATATAAAAGGATATGCAGTAACAAATCAGGCTTTAAATGTCAGTATCGGTTCTTTCCAGATTCCATCGATGTCTATATGATAATATGCGCTCAAAAAGTAACACTTATAGTCCGCACATAGGGTATTTTTATGTCTAGGTTAAGAATGCCATTTTTGCTTCGTGATAAGATAAAAGCTTTAATACATGGTTGTATTATTCTGTAGAGCATTGCCTACCGACCAATCTCGAAGCAGATTCTATCGTAAATTGTTCCTTAATAGGCCTCATTGTAATGCACTTTTACACGCACGTTTTTGAAAATTAACGATGTGACAAACTTAATGTGTCGTTTCTATGTAGTAGAGAAAGCCTATCCAGACAGAACAGCCTTTGAGAACTCAAGCTGTTCGTAGTTGCAGCAGCTAAAAATCAGACGATATCAGCAAACGGCTACTGCACTGTATCCCTATACAGTTCATACGTAATTAAAAATACGTGCTATAAAAGCCATGATGTGTGAGTTGATGATACTCTCAACACGAATCGTCATTTCAATGCAGATTAAGGTATTGATGTTTTTTTCCAACATAGTATCTCAGCCTGAATTAAATCGTATATTCCTTCGTAAATCTGAGAAACCGCTAGATGACAGACGCATTTTGAAAATTCATTCAACATTTTGCGTATAATTTTTCTTCCTTTTGAAAGTAAGAAAGTAAAGGTCTTTTACTTCGTTGCGGAACTTCACCTTTTTTCTTAGACTAATTGTGGCCCGCTGATTTGTACCGACCATTCAGTATCGTTTAAGCTGTAGAAGCCAGCGCGACATGCACAACCTGATTATTCAATGGCCTTTTCGTTCGATCGGCTGGATACAAGTACGGCTGGATACAAGTACGGCTGGATATTTTTCAACTAGATGCGTTTCAATTCATTGACTCTTGTGGCCCATGGAAAAGAGACGCATTTTTCAAATGAGGGCATTTACGAATTGGCAAAAGTGTGGGCGCTGTACAAAGGTTGGTCAACGGCGCCTAGCGATCGCTTGTTCCCTCGCCCAACTGGAGTGAGTTCCAGGAAAAGCAGCCCTCTCTATTTCAACGGTCATTAACACATTCGATGAACGTAGATAAAGATTGGACACACGGTTCGTGTTAGAAAAGGCACCTCTTATTGTGCTGAATCATTGCAGTATCTAGGGCGTCCTCAGGACACATTAAATTCTTTGTACTTGCTTCTTGGCTGACAGTGCCACGGCAGCGAATAGATTAACGCTCAAGAAGTCATTGTACCCCCGTTATTCTGTTGATATTTATTAATTATTACTGTTCTTAGTGTATGTAGAAAAGAAGAAGCAGGCGGGATACAGGCCGATCCGATGCCATCGGTAGCCTATGCCGCTACCCACCTGTCAGACCTATTCTCCTCTGCTGACGACTGAATGGCCCACGAAGCGGCCCATAACGGCGGGCAGAAGAAAGCAGTTTATTAAATCATTAATTTAGCTGATCGGCAAACAGAAGAGTGGAGTCTCCTGCCTGCAGAGTGGCTCGTATTGTGTTTAATCAGATCATAGATTATATTTTGGGCAAATCAGGACAGAACTGTAAGAAGTGTTCATTTAAAAACCCAAAATAGCCATCCGCTCCTGCTGACTGAAAATGGTTCCACGTTGTCAAGCAAAAGATATGAACATAACTAGCGCCGATTCTCGAGCGCGTTCTCCCCATTCTAATGTCCGGTTACTATTATATGGACCCAATCATCGTGCGAGACAACTAGGTATTCATAGAGAAGTAGCGATTCTATCTAAACAGCGTTTTCGTATTCTGCTCGTATTATAAGTCATACAACCATTTGAATAATATCGTTATTATTTGCGGCTTCTTCCATTTTTTGTACTATTTCAAAAAACTAACGAATATTCTGAAACAAGCTAAAAGTTATGCGGACGGCTGCGCAGTGGTGAAACGGATAGGGCGTCAGACTCTTGCCTGTGAAGTATCGTGTGCCACCGTACATTGAAGCTAACTATTATTTTCAAATAATTTGAGATTATATTATCAGCCAGGATCGTAATAACCTTCGATCAGAGCGCATATCCTCTTTTTGTACTTTTTTTTTCTGTAAAATATTCGAAAAAATTCTCACGGTGCCACTTTCAAGGCCCTTAGCAGACAGGTGATTTTGAAAAGTTGTCACCATGATAGCCTAGTAGATAACGTATTTGCTAATCTTAGGGACATGTTGTGGTCTATATTCGAATCCGGGCATAAATAGGCTTCGTTAGGTGCTGGGAGCTAGCCGTCCGATGAAACGCCAAACAGCGATACCCGGCATAACATCGAAAAAACATAGAGGCTCTGAGAGGCTCCAGGCCTCGCAAAAATGTTTGCAAAAAGTGTATAACATATAGCAAACCAACTATTAAATATAAGCGCAGATTCTTCTTTTGTCGTTATTTTTCTAACATATTACTGAGCGCTTCCGGCGAGATTTGGAGATTTTTTATCCTTAGTTCCGGATCTAATCGCAAATTAAGCGATTAGCGACTAAATTTAAGACACGCTATCTGCATTAATCATTGCAAAGTTAAACAAATGAACTTTCTTAGAGGAGCAAGCAGTCAGTTCAATGCATTGGTGTCAGGATATTCAGTGGTACGTTCCTGAGCATTATAACCTCAAAACGATGCGCAGCATTCTCTAAATGACCTCACTCTGCCCTTCGAGGTTAAGTGACATTGGGAAGAGGTCGCGCTTAAGCTTTTTTAGAAGGCATGCAAGAGGGAAATACCGAAGCGGTCGCTACGGCTGCGCTAAGGACGAAGACGAGTGACTTGTTTATTGAATCACTACCCTGTCCTCATTAACGATGTCCGTTCGGCTGGAAAATCGCGTTCTCCTGATCAAAGCACCGTGTAAGAGGGGCGATGAAAGGCAACAACACAATGGTATGGAATATGTTCATTGATACGACAATGATCCATTTCGTATAATAGACTACGGACAGTGGAATCCCGGTGTGCAGTGACTACATATGTACGTATATATATTAAGCTGTTGTAAGCGAATCTGTTGTAGTTTCGACTAAATAACTTTAGAACTAGTTGGGCTACAATGATTAGTTTTTGATATGCGTTATTTGTTTCTTTTTTACACACTTACCTTAACGCTTTGACATTTACCTACCTTCAATACGCGTTCCCATACACAATAGACCTATTCTCAAAGTTACTTGATAGTGGGATGTGCATGCCAACCAGTTGCTTTTTGCAGGATATGGAAAGCCTCGTAATCAGACGGGCTTAGATGGGTAAAATAAACGAGTCAAGTCAAGGTTGGATATCTTTTTGCCCAATTTAGGAAGCAGTTCAGGAATGGTACTGAAGTCTAGCGTTGTTATGCAGTAACCAGACTACCTTCGCTTACTCTTACAACGGTTCATAGGCCTCGAGATAGCGGGCTACATTCATTGTTTAATTTTCATCGAGTATCTAATAGTAGCAGATGCTCCTGGTATTCATTGCAAGTACTGCTATCACTTTATACTCGAACCCACAAGACTCTGTCGAACTCGACTTTATTCTAAAGCAATGCCAGTTTCTCTTTAACTAACACGAGAGATTAAACTATGTCTCATCCGTAATGACCGTAAGCTACAGGTGCTTTTTTTGTTAATTCAAGTTCCCAAAAACACCACATGTATTCCCAATTGCCCTGGAGTCGACTAACAGGCGGAGCCATTTTTTACTCAATTTCCGTTACATACATTAGATGTCACTCTTGTCCGACAGAGCCTTTAGATTCGAGCCTTTATTCTTGTAGAAGCCTCCTTGATTGCCGCAATGCGTTTTCGTGTCTCGAATCCTGATGTCTACCTGTCTCTCAGTGCTCTTCAACATTCCAATCTCCATTTTTTGGATATTCACACGTTCACGCACTGTGGCTCCGCTTTAAACCTATCTATCTAATGTTTTCACTAATCTTCGATGATTTTTGCAGCGCTGTGGCCTTCGAAAAACAAAAGCAGTGGGCGCTGATTTTTGAAACTAAAAAGTGTTTTTTCTTTTGGAGTACTTCAAGGATTTTTACTCAAACATCTATTAGGTAATTTTCGTCTGCTACCAGCGCTGTTCAATTTCATACATATATTCTAAATCGAAAAGCCTCTCCGTCGTCCTGTTTATTCGTACTCTATGTAACGAGGGTACGAACTCTTGGAACGAGGTGAATAAGGGAGATGCATTGTATACGTAAGAAAGTAGACGAAAAAGTGGCAGCAGCGAAGGCGTTAAACAACAAAATGCCTCTATTCGCCTACCGAGAAGCCTGTTTAGAATGACTAAAGATAGGTCACTGTTCAGAAGTGTATTCCAAAAAAAAAAGCATTTGTGGTAGTATGAAAAGAGAAGCCTTTCAATGAAAGGAACCTAACTGAAGTTATCATTCGGAACTGGTAGCAAACAACTTCTCGAAGCAGCAATTAGACCATGATGTTTTCTCTTTATAAAATTTATATATATTACATTCGCGATGTTTACTAGCTAAAACGCGCCGGGGCGTACTCTAGGTGTTAGCAGTAATTACTTTTCTAAGCTGTTATATCTCCTACGACTACGCAGTTGTAGTCAGTTTGAAGAGGTGGCCTCGATTTGTATTCGCAGTACTAAAGCATGTCTCGCCTAAACAGAACTTATTTACTGTCATTTTTATAGTTAAATCGTATCATTTCCATAGTTGCAAAACATTCCTAGCATTGCATGCTGTATGTTCTAAACTGGAACTTACCTTTTCTCGTTTCCAGGAGACGGGGAGCCTCCTAGAAACGATTCGCCGGCAGTATCAAGAGCGTCCGTGGCATTAGGAGCAATTCTGTTACGAGTCGAACATTTAATTACATTACCATTAACATGTGCAGAAAAAGGGGCCATGTAATCTCAGACTATTTGTGCGAATCCGCAACCTTTCCCAAGCTACATCGACTGCAGTTAGTGCGTTATCATAGGCATAAAACTTATACAGCGCGTAATTGTTCTACATCTAGCCTTCAACAACACCGGCATTAATTAACCGCCATCCGTGCACAATATAGGTTTGTAATAAAAATAGTGCCCTGGTCCGATGGTGTATTGCTTATTCAAGCGGCTTGTTCATTTACGGATGATCATAGTCACGCTATCAACACAACTTGTGTAATTTTTATAGAATCGCCCACTTCTTCTTTTCGCATTGACGATATCCTTGAAGCAAATTCGAATGGTCGTAGTCACAAACCAAATCAGACGTTTGCCATCACTCGTGCGTGACCGACATGTGATAACAAGCTACGCACAATCTAGACCCCGATTAATATAGTGTAACTAACTTATCCATTCAATAATGGTACGAGACAGCAGCAGAACCGTACGTCAACGTATTATTTTTTACCACTGCCAGCTGGTTTTTTGGTCGTGTCGAAATTCGAGCAAATAGCTGTTATTAGTACATGCAACAGTAGCCACCACAGTGGCATCCAACGCTAGCAACCCATTTTGCGTGCCTACTGCACAAAAACCCCTAGTTGTGAGGACCAAAGCCGTTGTTGCAGGTTTACACTTTGCTAAGGATTCTTGCTCCGCAACTGATGCGAAAACAAATCGCTTTTGAGACTTTCGAAATGTTGGATAGGTCGCGATATTTAATGAAATATGTGAGGCCTGACTATTTATTTCAACGACAACAGTGACTCTTACAGCCGTTTTTTTTCTCCAAGGACAAAGCAGTCGCACATCGTCCGGAAGACTAGGCTACCGTGTATGTCGAAGTTCTCAAACCTTATCGTTGAAATCGCGGACGATGACACAGAGGTTTTTCTTAGCAATCATCAGATGCCACTGCTATATTTGCGCGGTGAACCTCGACTCGCAGTTAAGGGCATCGACATTTCGATTGGCAATTCTCTACTTACGACGGGCTTTACTTATACTGATTGTGGCGACGTGATTGTGCAACGAAATGGTGGATGCTATAGTGGGATTTCCAAAGGTGCTTAGTATTAAGGATACCATTAGGGCATTGCACGCCACTCTTAACGTGTCCGCGTTTTGCGGACGGGTGAGAACTTTTTTTAGCGGTTTTTCGTTAACGAACACAACGACAAACAGCTTAGCTCGATTAGGATTTCCGCTTGGGTACTCCTTATCATTCTTTGGACGTGGGTCAACGTAACAAACTTTTTCCTCAGCGGACGCAGGCAACGCATAAACGACACTGCTGAGTTAAAAATAATAAGCGACGTTGTAGGTATTTGCGGAATTTGGTCGTAGCAGATAGTTTGTAGTCCGTACATATATTTTTTGACAGTGCCAGCAGTAATCAATGCGTATTCGAAGGAGATACATCGTACAGAGCTCTCTGTCCCACCTAGAAGTTTGCTTAAAGCTTAGTAAACAATTCAAACGACTCGAATCGGGCGTCTGGCAAACTTTTATTAATGGTTTCCAGTCAAATTTTCGTTTTTGTATACCTGAATTTGATGGGGACGTTGATAACAAAAACAAGCATGTTACAAATATGAACTTCTGTTAGCGGGGCTATGCTACTTCTATGCCTCTACTGCATGACTAGAAATGGCTCGCAGATAACATCCATCTACAAACTAACGGCTACCATGCTAACCGTATCTTCGCTGTATCACTGGCTCTTTTATCGAACCGTGAAGAATATCAGCTATTATGGAGTATGACGCATGGAAAGATGCGTTTAAAATCTAGGATTGTTTCTACAATGATGCCGATACCCTTCTTTCGCGCGGTAGCAACCTATATGCAAATTCTAGTGCAGCTTGACTATAGGTTTATGGCGCAATCCGACATTAAGCGGAAACAACAGGCATACGCGAACATAGTGCCTATTAAGTTCTAACACTTACACAACATCCAAGTTCGGTTTGACAATCGTTTGCTCACCTATACTCCTAGAGGCACGTACTTAATCCATACAAATTGCCATTAGAATGTTCTCTACGATTTTTATTTACACGTTACCGAGTTAGTAATGTTTAGCTGTTATTAGACATGGAACTCACGCAGAATCGACTTGCTTGAAGGGGCTAACAAGCGTCTCGAAGACGCTCTAAATTCGTTCGCAGAAACGTTATCGGGATTCAAACATCTGTCATTGTAAACACACGAAAGATTCTGTAGAAAAGAAACAAAACCTTTTTTTTTAAACGTATTGCGCTATTTTGCTTCAGATTTTATGTTGGACATCATATTAACTCTAATCTTTTCTTTGGGATGGACCATACGTAAGCTAAATGACTTAGTTTATATATGATAAAAAAAAAGAAAACGGAATTTAAATTCTAGTTGCATAAAACCAGTTACGAGAACTGGTTAAAACCTATCGTCATAGAACTTATCTAAAAACTAAAATCGTTCTTCTCTAGAGAAGACACCTTTTGCTTAACATTAAATAAATAATGAGTAAAATAATATTCGTGCTTATATAAAAGATCGTCTTGAACTCCATTGGACTTCATATTAGGAAATAGCAATATATTCAGTTTAGTATATTAAGATGGTGCCGCATCGACGAGTTACTAGGACTGCCTTAGGCAACACGTTGAATATAGATTAATTCGATTGTCGTAAATCGAAACACCTGTCAAAAGTGTTCTTGAGAAACGGGTTTCTGCAAACCTATTTTCCAAAATGTAGGAAAACAAACAATTTTACCAAGTAATCGTTTGTGAACTCGCATAGAACTTAGAGTACAATGTAGCCGATTTTAAAAACAACGGTATTATTTCGTAAAAAAATTACACATATATATATATTTTTAGGAGCTACCACAATGCTGGTTCTACTACCGTTTGATTACATCGTAGATTATTGCCGCTTGCACAGACCCTTAGTTACATACGTTATAATAAGCACATGCCAATGCTTACACTCGTTGTTTCCGCAAACTTAACGAATACGGTACCCATAGTATAATCAAAGAGAAAAATCCTTTCTGCCCTGAGAATACTTGGAGAAGGGTCTAAAGTACAAATCACATATACGCTGGATAGCTATTGATGCCTACGGTGATGAGAACGTACAGTAGAGCAAGAAACATTAGTGCATAATCTCGGTGGACTGTAGAGGTTTTCGGCGGAAAACTGTCCAGTTTATCAACCTGCTATTTTCAGTAATTAGGTGAGACCAATCATAGGCGCCTTTCAGCCTAGTTGACTTATTTCTTAATTAGATTTTCCTTACATTTTGGTATAACTACCAAGAAGGAGAGGTTCCACCTTCTCTTCCCAGTTTGTGATACAGTTTCAGCTTCGTGATTCGTGACTAGCGACTCTGCAAATACATTTGTTTTGCAATGAGACATTTGTCTAGGACAAATACAGAATATGCGTGAATGCGTTCGCGTTAAACTCTTATGGCTTAACGTCATTTTAAATCAAGAAACTGCCTTGCCGTCCACTATTATCGAATTTTAAATATCGCGCCATTTTCCGCGCGATGAAACATTTCGACATGAAACGCCACCAGCTCCCAGTCCCTTACAGTTTGCGAAATTGAAGTTTCGAAGAACCGCTGTGTACGGACAGCTTTTAAGCGATTTCGAACAAACAAGGGCGTTCGCAGTTTGAGGAATTCCGAGCTAAGTAAGGTAGAATAGCTACTGACGCGCCGAGAATTTTTCGAAAAGGGCTGTGTATTGCAAAATACAGGAGTACCGCCTCCCGATCTGAATAGAGGCTAAATTAGACCGGCAAAGGTGTCGTTACGTACAAGTTCTGTTGATTTTTCATTAAATTGTCTAAATATAATATATATAAACTAAATCTGCAAGGGTACAAGATGAAGAGTAATTTGCCGCCAAGTAAACCTTTATTGAAACAAGTTGTCCCATCTGTTAAACTATCTATTCTATTAAGCTTTTCAGTCTCGTATGCAAATTCATTATCGAATTAGGCTTCTCCTAAACGCCTTTATAAATGACAGCTGTAACCATGCTGAACATCCATCCCATAGCCGCAACTGGCCTTCGTGGTTTTCGATGTGCCTGTACTCGCTGCGTTGTTCAGCGCAATAACAATAGTAAACGAAAACAGTAGCGTATTTGTAGACATTGAAAATGTGCGATATCCAAAATCAAATCCTGTGCTGCCCACTCAGATCCTTTGTAGCGCGTAATCGATCCTCGACGCCCTTTGTTCAATCTGGTCTCCATATGAATGCGCTTATTGCGATCAGTTAATTGCCTATATTTATTATGTTGGGCTAATGAGGTTAGCGGCTAAATGGTCTTCTAAATTGTTGAAGACGTGTCAATGTGTCCCTAGACTGCACTCTGTCTTTATCAGGTGTTGAACGCTTGTTACCTGACTATATACCAATTTATGTCTGATTCGAGAAAATGTGCATCGTCTTACAAAAGACTAGCCTAATGAGTAACTGTGTAGTCGCACTGCGAACAATGGCAATTCAATTCTCGCCTTCGCTATTACTCAGTCTCACTCAGCGAAGGTACAGAAATTCGAGTTTCCAAGTGAAATTATCTGTGTAACCTATTATATCATCGGAGTACCCGTGGTGGTACAGATAGTCTAATAATCACTAAAATTGTGAATTGGATGACCTGGGCAAATACTAAAAGTCGCTGCATCTGGGTCCAGCTGGAATAGATTGTTAGAATGCCATCGATTATGATAACGGATTATTTTACAGGCAGTGATAGAGAACAATCTTTCAGTGGCGGGAAAAGGCCAAGCCTAGAATACTGTGGGTGAGTTTATGGAAAGATTGAGTACCTGTCGGGAATAAGCCAAATGGCTTTTAGCCTACACATTGCCTTTCTCTTGACTTCAGATATTAACCTCCAGTGGCCACCGCAATACCTCCTTTCGTTTTATTCAAAAAGGATCACGCTTCGTGATGACTTTTGGCATTGATCACTTTTGAGAGATTGCTCCCAGTACAAAACATCGTTGTAGAAGATATACGTTCCCTCCGGCGGTTCCGTTCGCGGTACCGTATTAGTGTCGCTTGCCATGCTAGGGAGATTTTGGTACGAAGTAGGGTTTTAAACTGTTGAAAAGGCTATGGAATGCCCCAAAAATTATCTACCTATTGTTCGAATGACAAATGACAGCTTTTAAACAACGTTTATCTTAGAACAATAATAGCCAGTTGTTGTTGTTTGCCAAAGCCCGTGGAATATCCTTGTTTGTTTTAATAGATGGAAATTCGAATTTAGGGTCATTTTAATTTGAGAATGGCGTCCATAGAACAGTTTCCGCAAGATCACAAAAGAAAAAAAACGAAATCGCTTCGAAAACCGATCGATCAGGAAATGGGCTATCACGCTTTGCGCTTTTGGCCTGTAAATAGGATAACTCTAAGTCGGTTAACACATTAAAAGTGGACGTTATTAGAATAAAACGGTTATAGTCACGTAGCAAAGTTAGCAAGATCTACGAATGATCGAGCAGACGATAATCGATCGATAAAGTGACACTTTACCTAAAGAGTCAAAATGCAATACAAAGTGTAAAACCAAATGATACATTTAGTTTTAGTTACTAAAAAAAGCTATGAAATGAGTGCGTAAAGCTTTAGGACACTAGCCTAAGGACATTCCAAACAGAACAGGCTTAACAGAAGAATTATACCTGCAGATCCTGATTCAATGTTACCCCATCCCAATTGGATACTGCAAGGGCGACGATACTGACCCTTACGCAAGATGTTATGGTCTCCTTTTAATTATCTTCTAACAACTTACTTTGGATTTCCAACAGGGCGAACTTTTCAAACTATGAAGCGAACCTTCGAAATTGGACTGGAGAAGTAATATATTATGACGCTTATGGATCTTGTTCGCGACGTAAAAGTTTCACACTGTGGACGTGCCTAAAGCCTGAGAAACTTGTACAGGCGTCACCCCAGAGTAATTTGTTTCTTTAGTCGTCCATGTGAGTCCACGAGAGTTATCTTTTAGCAAGCTGCATTCGACTAGATTCTCATCTATATATATATATATATATATAATGGCGTGAAAAACGCGTTACCGTATATGTATGCAAGAATAATTTGGGCGCCTTCAATAGGAAAAAATCCAGTAAGGTAACATAGTGATCAACAAAGGTTACTCAAAACCCGAACAAGCTAAATTCTATATGCACACACATTACATGTAACAATATGACAGCATCCTACTGAACACTAGGAAGCAAAGTCTGCATAGCTGAATAAATTCCGACCGCAGTACCGAAACCGCAAACCTTGCCCCGCTCTCAAGCTCCATCTTCTAGCAAAGCTTTGCTACAACGCGCGCGGTAAGTAAGTTAGCTACTTTATTCAACTACTCGCAAACAACCGATTTCTCTTCCGTTTATATTCTAACGAAACCTTCGTATGTATTAATTACGCCAACTAATGGGTTAGGTAATAACCTCACGATTTTTGTGCGCTGCCATCCGCCTATTTACGTTGATGGTTCTTTCTTTCCAAAACGTCACTATCAATAAATCGACTTGCATTTACGTAAGGTCCTGCTGCTCACCTTCTGAACACGCATTCATGAGAAGCTTGAGAGAGGAGAACTATAGCCCCAAATAGCTCTTCGTCTTAACGGATCTTCTTAAATCTTTTTCACGATCGTTACAAGACACACATGTGTGCGCTCAGAGACGCTCACATACGCATCAAGCTGTATGTGCACAGATGAGTCATTTCATGCATCCTGTTCGGAGAGTTATTTCTTTCCCATTCGGTCAGTTTCAATAGTGGACCATAGTAAGCCACGCGCTTGGATCGGCCGATCGATCTCGACTGAACAAAACGCAAGAATAAAAAAGTTCTTTGGTGCGTGACATAATCCCCTATCGACATATTGATTTGTGCTCTCTTCCACGTAGCCGCCATTCCTGACGCTTCCGCCACCGCTACTGCTAGTAGCCAAGATTCGACAGGGCAGGTGGCCACGGTAGTGGCTATTGCTGAAAAATAAATGTGAACGGGAGAGTGAAACGCTGCCTTTCAAGACGAGACATAACAGTTCTGGACAAAGACTAAAGTAGAGACCTAGAAATGAGAAAAGAAGAAGAACTAGCAGCGGAACCCACAAAAGGACTGTTATTCAGGTAGGCATTGGCATGAGAGACAAGGCGTCCATCCCACAAAATGACCAGACGAATCCCTCGGAAAACAGCTTTCAGTCGTTTCGGTACGGCACACTTTAGATTAGTTGGGCTAGACTTGTGTATCGTATCCATAAGGAGGGGCTACGCGGATGAAGACGCATGTAGTCCAAGGATATAGCACACTTGCCCTTATAGTTAGTAAACGGATTGCTCAGTTACAGAATATACTATAAAATTGGATATACGACAATAATTATGACAGTAGTAATAAAATTAGTCAATCTATCAAATAAAAAAACACTTTCTCCTGGGTATCTCGTAAAACTGAATGGTGGCTTCACACTATATTGGAATCTGTGTTCGTTTGGAAACAAAAGCAGTAGATGGACGTAGATAGTGAAGATGAAAGCTTTACCAAAACAACTGGAAATAGGACTTTTATGGGGTAATAATAATAATAGTAGTGCTTCGTTGGTCTTCTCATGTTTACTTTCTAGCTCGTCATTGTTCCAGCGAGTTGTTCGGAAGGAACTATTATCATGCATCGTTATACACGTCCAGATCTTCAAAAACTCCTCCTCAAAATAGGAAAAAAATAGTTTGAATACGCCAAAGGTGCGATCATTTCGGAGAGTTCGAAAAAAGGCTCATGTTCGCACGAGCTCAGTCACATTGGTAAGTGTTTGTCGTCTAGCGATGGCATGACATCATATCAGAGTGATAACGATACCAAAACTGTTGTTTACAAATAGAGACTAGAATAATTGTCTTGGATTTGAGTGCCGGTCAAGCTCGTTAGTTATTACCCCATCCAAATTTCTTCTAAGGGAAAACTCATCAGAGGCTTTCTTGTAGACTAAATTGCGGTACTTACATTATTTCCTAGCGGAGTTGTTTCTGCAATACTAAAATCTTCATTGTCATTCGATTGAACATGGAAAAGATTGGATTGATTAAAATAGTATATGGCAATTTCATTAGTTAATTATTGCGACTGAGGGGTATGGAGAAGATTTTAACATGCCACTGTAAATAGTGTAATTTTTCATGCGCTAGTTAAAATTCGATAATCGCTCATCGCGAGACCTAAATTTGTTGATAGTTTCGCCCGTACCCTGAAGATCGACTCAAAAAATTGTTCTATGTAGATATTAAGGCAAGGACGTATCGATTCTAACTTAGGCTACATAATACATTTCGAAAGCGATGCATATAGAACTACCTCTACTGATAAAGGCATTGTGTAACTCTTTGATAGAAGCCAATTACAGTTGAGTAAAGGTCAACAAATTCGATCTCTCCATAGCAAAACGTTTTTGCAAAAAGTCAGAGAACACAAAACAAGATTTAGGGGCTCGTGTTAGGTAATTAATTTGTAGCTTAATATAATCTAAACATGGCTGGACAGGAGTGAGGAACAAACGCAACTACAAATGGCTAATAGGGTTATGATCGACCATATCATCATCGGTATAGCATTGTTAGGTGAGAGCGAATTATTGCATCAAAGACTAACTGGTCGAATCGAAGACAATGGCGTAAGACGGCACAGCAGAAACACAATACGACAGTTAATAATCGCCCCACGGTTACAGCAGGGCATTGCCCAGATAAGTCCTTTATAAAGGGCATGCTCCGAGAGTAAGGGTACACCCTAATCAACACTGACCGTCGTTTGAACAATAGCTTACGTAAAAACGGGCACTACGATGATGTCAGGTCGAAAATAAAAGAAGTGACGACCAATAAATCCTAAGCAGTACAAAGCATATATATATATATATATATTTTTTTTTTTTTTTATTAAGCTAAGTACATGCATGTTAGACAATTCTGAATAATAGGCAGTGATGTAGGCATGAAGTGCTTTTTTAATCGGGGAAATTCGAAGGAATTCTTTTGAAGGTTTGGGCCTTTGAGGCACCCTCAGAAAAGACACGCGGCACTCTTGTGATTTTTTTAGAAAGGATTTCAAAATGCAAAACTATTTCAATCAGCAAAGTTTTTCTAATTATATCGAGCGCTTGCTGAGTTATAAATACACAAAATTGATAGGTCATCCTGTTCACTGGAGTATAACATATTCCAAAAACAACTAAAAGCAACTTATACTTGCCAAAAGTCAGTAGACGAAATACTATTACTTGACAACCCTGTAAGCCATCTTGTTCTCATAGTTGTTGTGCCATATGTCGTTATTGTTATTTACATGCCTAATAGTGTTTTTTTAAGGCATTGCGCCAGATGCTTCGAAGCATCGTTTTCTGTAATAAAGGTCACAGCTTTTTGGTGGGACCACAAGCATTCCTCGTCTTGTTTTGTGTGAAGATCGGCTTGATTTTGATAGTTTTTTAAAACATTAGTATAAACACTTCTTAAGCCGTTTTCCGCGTTCATCTTAAGCATTTTTTTTTTCTATTTCTCTCTGTGTTTACATGTTTCATAAGTAACGTGGTAACAAATATTTTGTAATTCACTAACGCCTTATTCTTATAAAATCGTTTCGCGGGCTAAAGAACACTTCAGCATTTGGTTAACAAAACGGTCGCCGACTCGAAATAGCTTTTGTGATATATGGTACATGGCGGGCATACTAACCACCACGTATGGGCCGCCCAATCCATTGCCCCATCATGGTATAAAAAACATTGAGTCTGATGGCAAGACAGGCCATGAAGGAGTGAGAGGGTAACGTAACTCAATAGACTAATCCGATTTCTTCCCGTCGAAAGGAGGCATTACTGTGTGTGGATAGCTCGTGTATTATTGGGTCTGTTGGGTCAGCTAAGTCCGTTGAGTCTATTGAAGTACAGAAGGTCGTTTGTTAGCTCAGTTTGGCGTCATCTAGCCTCCTGTACTTGCCAATAAACTTACATAACAATCATCCTTCGCTCCCGCAAACGCGTTTACGTTTCCGCCTGTTTTCGGCGTCGATAACAACGCCGTGCACTTGATGTGGGCTATGATGGCGAAGAGGAGATCTGAAGTTTTTTGGTTCATCTGAGCTATACGAAGTTACGGAAAAAAGAGAAAGTCGCACGTTTTTACTGCGCACGGACTCCTTATTCATCAGTGGAAGCAGCTGACTCAGACTATATTTTTATAATCCACCTCTGTATGGTTGCAGAATTTGTTATCTACGAGCCAGTATTCATCTCACACAAAAGGTAGAACGACGAGTTGAATGATTCCATATTGTGATAAGGATGGCTAGGATGGATAAGGACAACTTTACTGCTCTAATGTATAAACACCTCAGACAAACGTGTTCATAAAACAAAAGCAAACACAAACGGCAATACGATGCTTTCGTTGGAAAGACAATCTATATCTGGTTATTTATTGATTTTCCTAGAGTCTCCTGCATGATCGCTATGTGTGATTTCATACAGTTTTTCAACGAGCAGTCACCTTTGATTAACATGGCTGTGATTGCTATACCTACGCGGAACTTACTGGATCACGCTACCATCGATTCTGTCCATACACGCAACATTGACTAGAATAAAATAAATAGACTTTGTGTTTCCATGGAATAATAAATTGTGATAATGTATTTCTTAATTTTATATCATACTAGGCGTTCGATTTTCAGTTGAACATCAATTGTTGATCCTATACGTAGTACTCTTGCCGGAATAGAATCAAGTGCCCCCTTATTTCATGCTGACATCGTAGGCGGATCCGTTCTAAAGCCGCCTATTTACTTAATTCATAAAGAAAAGCATAGAGCCTCTTTTCGTTGACAAATGTGCCACCTTGTGAAAATTCGCCGTTCTATGCACAAACACTGACGTCGGTCTTTGTAGCATATCGGGTTAAAATAAATCAGTAAATTCATGAGCAGAATATACACATCGAAGCTTTCTTAAAGACATCCTCAAAAAACTCCTAGAGGCTGGAGCGTTGAATGATTTTTTCTTTCAACTAAACTAACTTCTATACCTGGAACAAGAAGCAAAAGAAGTTCATAAAAAGAGCAAATAATATGGTTTTCAGAATACAAAACCATCTCACAGTCCATTATTTCTTTTCACTTTATATTTCAAACACTCTTTATATCCATACGGTCCTCATACGCATAGATATGTATTGAGTACATACGTATATAACGGATATCATGAGCGTATATATTTTCTACTACAGTTGAAAGTGGTCTATTTGATAGTCAGTTTTCATATGTGCTTGGTCCGAAAAAATTCTATGCGAAAAAGTAACTGGAACGAAGGCGAAAACGAGATCGGACAAAAACAACCTAGGATCCAACCCCGTTCTTGTATGGCAGCGCCGACGGCCCATTTACAATTACATACATACGTGTGTTCCGGCGTTCTGAAAGTCAAAACCATTATGTCGGGGAAGCGCCGTACGGGCGGTGTTTGAGGCGGTGATGACATTAATTTCAATTTCAGTTTTGTTCCAATGAGAAGATTTCCGGGAGCGGTCGACGCTTCTTCAAAAGAAAGGAGAGACGCCTTAGTCGTTGGCGTTTTACCATAATCATAATTAGTTCCTGTGGCTTCTACTCCTTCCCTCCCCTATGTCTGAGCGTCCCAAGACATCAAACGATCTCTACTCTAAGCACTTATTCTCTCACTGTTGCAGGACGCGTGGTAAAGGAACAAACATGACTGTGATGTCCATTTGACTTGTTCCTCGTCCCTGTAAGACAGTCAGTGGGCTGCAGCTCTCGTGGACGTTTCTAAGATCGCCTTTTCGGTATTGTCAAGAATTGTACTGTCGGCAGACGAAAATAAAACGCAGAGTAGGACATAAAAGCCTGTCGCTGCTAGACAATGCTCAACGCAACCAGACTAGTAATTTGTCAGGGTGCCGTTTTCTCTAATATAGTCGGTCGCACAATAACATCGAGCAGTTCACAATTTTCTTTTAACGACAATGGCATACAACCAATAATACTAGCTATTCATATAAAGCACCCTATTTAGTATCTTATGAGTTCCTCGGGTGCTTGCGAAGATTCTTCGCGATTTTGGTTTTACAAGAGAAAACAAAAAAAAAAAAGAGCGTGCTCAATTATATGGAGTTGAAACTTTAAGCATCTATTATAATAATATTATAATTATTATTCGGTAGCACAGCTTTGTATAAACGAAATATTGCTAGGAATAATACCAGTGAGGAAGTTGAAGAAAAGCCATGTTATTCAGTAAATTGTATAAATAAGAAAATTAAGGATGCTTTATACTGCTACAGTAAACTGCCGTGAGTATAGCCCTTAGGATAGTAAGAACATTTCTGTTTTTGATTGGCCTGTCCGCCTAAAGAACGGGCAGGGAATTATGACAGACTTTTTCCTCGTTTGCTATAGCCCCTAGGTGAGGGGTTCCTTTTCCCAGCGCCAGGAGGTACCGATAGGCGCTATCTGGAACTGGAATTCTAAAATACTATATATTTGGAGTTCTGGACACAGCGGCATCCCTCTATCGTCGCAGCTCCGTTTTACGATAGGAAAAAGAACAGAAACGCATATTGCTGTTGTTTAATTAGAAATCCTCTTCGATTACGCGTTTAGTTATCGTATTAAGTTTTTGCAGAAAATCGAAGCGCTTATATTTAGCCGTGGATTTTTCTAAATACAATCCATCACTGATTATGCAGCATAAACCATTATTACCCGTAAAAAAAAGCTTGTACATAATTAAAAATAAGCAATACGTCTTTAGCTCTGATCGCTCAAATGCCCCAAATCCGTAAACATTAGTACTTTCCATACATATAGAGCTGCGATTGATTGATTGATTGATTGATTAGTTCCTACGTTTGCATTAGGTCTAGCCTCTCCAGCATAAGCAATTCGCCTTTGTTGCACATTACGAACGAGTAGTTCGCTGTGGCACACCGCTGCAGACGATCAAGCTTTTTTTATTATGTAAAAGTGAGTCATATGCTAAATTTTCGACCTGGAATATCTAGACAATTTCGAATCCGTACCTCGAAAGGCGGAAGAAAGCTACGTACGTAAGCAGGCCCATTCCCATCGATCAAACGCATATACGTTACGTACGCGACCCAGAATGGCACACATTTTTAGTGGTCATCATAAATGGTCAGTGCAAATAAGGCATTTTTTTTTGTTTGAGTGCATGTTCCTGGCTGCTTCAATAGCACCAACACCTAATTAGAGATACATAAGTAAAGATCTGATATAGAGTCACGTTAATATCAGCGATATACAGCTTTTGCCATATGCAGTCAACATATGTGGAATAAGCATCCATTTGTTTTGCAGTCGTAGACAATTTAGTATCGCCGACTCTTTATTATTTTGAGCTAACGTAGCTCACACTCCCATGCGAATGGCGAGCAAAGTCCACTAAACATGCCTTCGCCAATGGTCACGTGTAACTTTTGATTAATTTACATTGTTTTTTTTTATTATATTATTTATTTATATCATTTGCTTCAGACAAACTGCGAGAAATCAACGAATTGAGTGACGCAACTCCTAAACTGTCAAAAAAAGTTCTATCGGGTTGCTGGTCTACGATGAAATTCCCTAAGACAGCCATTGCAAATAACATCAACTATGATACGTTCTCTGATATGATGGTGAGAAGATGTTGGATCAGATTTTGTCAGATCACATATCCGAATTAAGGTCGAAGGACGATATGCGCTATAGGAAAGCGTCCACCAAATTTCGAATTTCGACATCGAGAGAAAGTGCAACGCAGTCGTTTATCGGATGATTAGTTTCAAAACAGATATTTTCGTGAGAACAACTTTTTTAACGATAAATTAATGTTATTATAAAAGAAAACGACTCACCGATATGGCTAGTCATCTCAAGTGTTTTGAACACGAGTGTCCTACATGTAGAAGACCCATAGTTGGGTCGACGAGGAAACGCGACAGTAACAGCGAGAGTCGTTAAACGGCGACGGCAGCGCTTACAGCAGAAGTGACGACCGTGTCAGGATCGAGACACACCGGCACAACTTAATCTATTAATAACAACGACTTCCACTATATCGTCATCGGCACTTGCGAAATAATTGAAGTTCTAGCCGTTGTAGGCAGGTCCGTTTATATTGACTATCGTTCTCGACAGTTAGCTCATCATAGCAAGATAGTCACCGAAAGATTATCGAATTGTTCATCAGCCCGCGAAAAGTTTCCTCTAAATATTAGCAGTGGCTTCTTGTCAGTCAGGGATCATTTCATTCATCAGTTATAACCTATTTATGAAGAACAAGCGAAGACTGGATATCAGATAGCAGCTTTTAAAAAAAAAAACGTTGTTCTTTATTCAGCAATTGATCAAGTTAAAGCATATCTCAACAACAAGTGTCCGGTAAATCGTTGGCTTAGATGTTCAACTGGACGCTATTTTCTCTTGAATAGCGTCAGCTCGTTTTTATGATATTTCTCATAAACGAGATATGCACCCAAAGATTACTGTTTCAGAAAATCACAATACACTTTCAGTGGCAATATGAACTTCTCTATTTCGTTAGCTGTTATCAACTGTGAATTTGAAGCTTACCTTGTCTACGCTAAAATTTTACCGGACCCAGTCAAACTATGGAGCATCCAATCGATCGTTCACGAATACAAAAGCTTCACTAATCCGTCTCTCCGCCAACAAAAATTTGTCCCATGGCTAAATCGCACAGTGTGCTATTGAAAATTATACATTCGGCCATGTTTAGCACGAGTAGACGCCGAAGTGAAGCTACAAAGAAGCGGTGCACCACTTAAATGATCGGGAATTGCAGCGAAGCATTACGACACAAAAAGGGAAAAAACATTCGAAAAGCTCCACTGATCATTTTTCTTCTCGATTATCCAATATGCTAGGCTGTGCGATCAAATACACTCCATTAAAAAATTACCTTTTTGCTTTTTTCACTATAATGAACATACAGGCGCCATTCTTAGTGAGCACAAGTGATTCAGCAACGTCGCCCTCTGGGAGCGTTGCCCTAGCGTACGTTTTTATGCATACTGTAATAGCACTGGGCATCCGCCAGACGTCCAGCGAAAGGGTTGCCGGATCGAATACACACAACTTCTGTATTTATAATAGCGAGCAAATTCGGGCAGATAATTTGCACACCTGTCGATTATATAATTAGTTTATATTTGTAACGCGGCTACTCGCGCTTACTGATGTCAGCTAGTTTTTGTGACCGATAAAGACTCGCTGTGTTCAAACGAAAACTTTGTTGCAGCGTTAATGACAAGAAAAAATCATATTTATTGAACATTATCATCGAAAATTAAAACAAAAAATTCACTGGTACCGTCGGTGATTCCCGCTTACCTTCAATCAACTAATTACGATACGCTGTCAAGAAATCGGGCCGGTGGGATGTACTGCTGCTGTTGGTGAAACCTCGTCCTGTTTTTTGTTCCCGAAAACCTGTAGTAATATACTTTGTTTACGAATATAAATAATCCTTTTATAGATAAAACAAATCACGCGACACGTAAACGTTAGCGATAAAAAAATTTATTCATATATATGTATATATAAAATGTTTCGTACATATTTACGGAACGTATGCGTAACACCTGTTCTCTGTATATACGAGATACGGAGAAAGACCATTCGCATATCGTCGTTGTGAACTGTGCTCAAACATTTCCGTTAGCCCTCGTTCTAGCTCGCTATATTAAATCATTTCTCAAATACAATCACCTGTGTTCTCTAAATCCTCGTAAACGCTTTTTTTTTTTCTATCAGTAATCTTAAAATGATCTAAAATAGGCGTAACCTTCACTGGATATCTTCTACTACTCGTTGTAAATGTATTCACGACCTTGCATAGAAATCCCCTATCTTTGATTAGGCCTTAATTCTACAGTTGCGCTGCGTAGCTCATAACTGGTTGAACATATCTACGAAACAGTTTGATGTATAAATTAATATCTTCTATTAAAAAAATTTGCAGAATCCAATTGTGGAACATTGTGTCGCGCAGAGCAAAATGTCCGCCATACGTTCTGAATATTTTGGAAAGCTAGGCGTAACGATACTTGGATCGTTAATTGCATTCTGGGACGTCACCCGTATTATATTCTTGTTTTGCAGGCCCACGCTGGAAGCATGAAACGGCGCACTTTTTAATAGATAGATCAATTTTTTAAGTCAATTCTTTAGGCCCACTCATAAAAGTTTAGCAAACCCTGCCGCATATTAGATTTCTCTCGCATATTATTTACGAGTCCATATTTTTTTTATACCATTGGCATACATTTTTACCCTTAGTGGCGACGGCATCGTGTGCGCTGGGGTCTATATATACAAAGACCTCTCATACATCAAAGAGCATAGTACTTTGAGGGGGGGGGGGGGGGTATCCAGATATTACGGTATCGTCAGATATTTAGTGGACAGATATTGACGTAGTGTACAGCTAAAATCTGAAGAGGTCTTTCGAAGGCGGCAGGTGGACTCGTCTGGTTTTGGCCGTAAATTTTGTAGGTTGTCGGTTATGTCTCTTCAAACTACTTTTTGAGGATTTCCGCCTTTGTTAAGGTAGCATATTATCTTAGCTGGTATCAATCTGAATAACAACAACGAGCGCGTTCACCCTCTGTACATATCTTTACGCGCGGCAAAACACTGCAATATTTCAGTAATTGTACTTTTAAAGTTTATTCTTTAGTAATACCTAATGTTGTAGTATTGCAAACAATGCCAATGACATCGACATATTTCGACGTCGCAAAAGCGTGTTACGTCCTTTAAGCTTCGTAAGAAAACGTTACCAGTTCATTGAATGGCTGCCTTGTTCTAAATCTTGCCAGAACGTGAAACACTCCATAAAGGGTAGTTCTATTCAGTTTGACCACTGTATACGATTTTACTCAGCGTAACGTTAAATACGCCATCGCAGTCCTTGAAGATAACGACGCTACAAAGTACGCAGCGCTAGACCGAATGTTTCGTCTGCTGAGAATCAAAACCAATGAGGGCTGTACCTGCACATGCTCTAAACAGAGTACCATCGCATTAACTTTACTGGCAATTTCACAAAAGGGTTATGCGAGTGAAGAAACAAAGTCATTTTGAAAAGCCTCTTACAAAGAACATCAGTCGCAATTTATTAGGCGATCGAAATCTAAAATTTAGCAAGAAAAATCGCCGCATGATAACACGGTACAAAAACCTGATAAGAGCGCCAGTTTCACCTCGAGTTGAGTCTCCTGATCGATTTATCCGTCTGTAACCCAATTCAAGTCTCTGTCAACATCTAATGCTAGAAAACTGTTTTCTTGAGGACGCAGTGTCACTGCCACTGGGAGGATCTAATTTAATGGCAGTGATGATGGCGGCGGGATCGACAAAATGGCAGAACTCTACAAAAGCATCAACTTTCCGCTGTTTCTAGGAAATACAAAATTATTCGCCAGTGACGCATTGTATAAACGTATGCGTTCCAACTTGAACTCGCTTGACGCGTTTTTGCGAGCGGGTTCTAGTCTATCTTTTTGTGTCCCACATAGTTAGTGAAATATAAGCATACAAAAACTATTGGGCTTAAAATAACGCAACAAAGGTCATCATTACAAACTTTACATAGTAAATACCCTGCTCCTGAAAATATATGCGATCTGTTCAGGAAGAAAGACGCCAAACCAAAGACCTATGAGATCACCTCTAACTCAGTTTAATACTTTATAACAGATTGATGTATTGCCTCATTTCACGCGGCAATCTAATATTACAGGGCTTCGCGCGAAACTCTGTGATAACTTTATGAGACGAAACATGACATTTTTCAATGACTGTATCTGAAGAAGCTAAATATACTTCAAGCTACTGAACCAACATGCGAAGTGGGGAACGTCGTTTGAGGGTCGTCAGCCGTCAGTATTCGAGAAGCCTTCCCTGATCACATATATCAATGAAATGTTTAAAATCGTGATTGTGAGCATAGCAGTGACCATTGTCGACGGCAGAGGCGATAAAACAATTTATGTTACTGACAGAGCGGTAGCCCTGCTGTTAGAGCAAACTTTTTTTGCCACTTCTCGCATCAGATGACGACGGTGTTGGAAATGGGGTCTGCCCAGTTACCCGTTCTGTCCTGTGTAAGTCCATTTTCTACCGCTACCGCCGCCGCTGCTGCTGCTAACACTAGAGACTGCAATTTGTAGATGAAACATTCGAAGACGCGTACCGTAGAATTGAAAGTCACTAGTTACTGTTTCAAATGAACAATTATAGTTCCAATGAGTTAACTAGCTGCTTGCTTGTCGCTAACTGAGCACAAACTTCACTCGTTTACGTCCGAACGGTGTCGCTGAGAAACGACTTGGTATAGCGGGTCCTTACGGTCGTCATCGTTGGGTTCGAGAGGTGCTTGTTTGCCAAATAAACTAGATCAAGCAGCCTAGTCCACTTAGCTGACGACGATAACGACGATCCGCGTTGGGAGGTCCGTTCAAACGTAGGGGTGCCCACGCAGTCAGAACCATCGATTTTCTTCTGCTTCTTCTTCTTCTAATTCCATTGACAGTGTTTAGGCAAACCAGTGCTCGGTTCCTTCGTGCACTGTAGCTAACAATGTAATTTTTACTGAAATACAGAGGCGTCAATTCAGGGCTGTATGATTTATTTATCTCCATAAACCTTCAAAGTACCACTAGACAGAAGTTCGGCATAGCGCTTCCAATTTTTCCGAGTCGACAGGACAATTCTGCTGCCGCACAACAGTTTCTCTCTCTCTCTCTCTTAAAATTTCCTATAATGACAACAGCTAAACTTGAGCGTGAGATACAGTTAGTTTTTTATATTTCTTAAACGCGAACAACGATAGTCGCTATTTGTATGTGCCGATGCTCCAAACAGAGCTTTTGCAAACAGACGACTATGTTACTTGCTACCGACTTCTAGGCATATATCACCTGTTTGAAAATGAGAGCAGTCAGCTTCTCGGGAATTACGGATTAAGTCCATATTTGTGAAGTCGCCCGCGACGTGTTAACGGGATGAAGAGGCTAGCACGCAAAAATTAACGCGACCTTGTATAGTTGACCTTGGATAGATTTTTTTCCTCAAAGGCCACCTAGAAACGATAAAAATGATTTGCATTAATACATGAGCGACTGAAACTATTCTATTATCTTTTACAGTCGGAAGCCAGACCTGAAACGCAGATGCTAGAATGTAAATTAGAGGGTCAGAATTTAGCTTCTGTAGAGAGAAAAGGGGCGCAAGTTCCAGAATTGGCAGGCAGCTCTAGCTTCCTCATCTGCTTGCATGTTGGAACGGCGCCGCCGCGGTAGCGCTAAACGGTGGAGCTTAGTCGCTGCACGTAGAAGTCTAAAATTTAAATTAGAGACAGCATCCTCTGGCACCCTGCTGTTTAGGAAGACGAACCTTCATCCACAAACTGCAATTTTAGCAGACAACGAAGAGGCTAAACGGGGAAAAAACATTCCCCTTTACCCAAAGACTACACTAAAGGTGGTCTACTATAGTAATGTCTAAACTTGGGAAAAAAATTAAGGTTTTGAAGCGTTCCAAGGTGTTTTTATAGAATTGACGAATAATTAAAGGTGCCCGCTTATAACAGAAGCTGTATCTCGAACGTATCTTATAAAATTCTTTATTAAATACGCATGAAGGTGCCCCTTACGGTATGCGGCAGTTATTCAACTAATATAGAAACCTGAGCAAAACGTTAACAAAATCACTTTAAATCCTATGATGCGCCACAGTGAATACGAACCCACCCGTCTCAAAAAATTACAAGAATGTAGAATGGCCTAGCTAAAGTGTATCGGAAATTCCCTACGTAATGAAATATAATAAAATACTAATAATAATCGAAATTAGATGCATAAAACGACTGTCCTATCTGTCAGCAGGAGATATCTTGCAAGTTGTATTCTGTAAAGTATGTAATGGATACTTAATATACATCAATAGTTTATAATAGCTTAATATCATCGTTATAAGTTAAATAGAAACAAAACGTTCCTTTAAACGAATTTTTGGAAGTTAAAGTAAGTTCCACAGATTGTAGCTGACTTGACTTTTTACTGTAGACACTACTCCCATGTTGTAGGTGTCGTTACTAGTATATTGTTAGTGTGTGTATTACAAACAAAGCAGAAGATAGCGGAATTTAGGCATAGCAGACGACTGAATCAACAGCGATATACTACAGACAAAAATGGGTCAACAACAATGAAATAGCGAGCTGCGGCCTGTTCGTTCGAGATGTCACAGTTCACGCTTGATTAAACAGTCCTGCCGATTTGTGCGGCAGCGTGAACCGTGATAGCTTGCGGCAAAACGATGACAAAACAAACGGGCAGTATGGTCACCAAGTAGACGGTTCGATTAGTTCAGAAATATGTGTATTACGTCTATGAAGCTTCAGTAATGGCTAAACTGTTGCTCAAGCATTCTTTCCGCACGTTTTATATCAGAGTACTTGAAAATATCAATTTATCTGCTTTCTGTCCCTTTCTCTAGATTTCTCATATTCCCCGTTTAAATCAAGGAGCGTTCGATAACCGCCGTCGACAAAAGTACTACGCCGAGCGAAAGGACTGAGTAAACAAACTTTGGGAAAAGGTGGCCCTTAGTGATCGAACCCTTGAAGTGAAAAAAACAAAAACGGAAAAGCTGAAAAAAAAAAAGTAGGAAAGGTTGAACAGAGTAACCCCCTAAACTCAACTCGTACTAAGCAAGCATTGCGCAAAACGGTATACGGCAGCGTGTACAATGTAGCAACATGCTGAATCGGTAAATGATGGGATAGCGGTCTATTAGAACGGTAGCAGTGCATTTTTTGGAGTGAGAACAGTAACGACCGTGTTGTAACGAGGTAACGAATGGCAGCGAAGAAGCAGAAAAGATGGCACACGTGTTGCACGAAAACTTGGCAGTAGGCTTTTAATGTGTTAGGTATTTCAACACGTGACACATTTTTATACCTTATTTCTTACGTATCGACGTGGTTCCGTTGTAAAACCAAAAGAAGGAGCTTCTAGAAGCACGTTCTATTAGTAGACAAAATTCGATAGGAACTGTGATGGAAGTTTACTAAATATTTGGATGCTATTGAATTGAGTAAATTCGATCAATCGTTAGAAATCCCATAAGACTTCTATAGGCACAAGCGCAGATTTGATCGGTTGGCTTCCAATGTACTTTGAATTGCTAGAGAATAGATTTTCCCTAATGGAAATACATCTGTTTATTACTAGTTCATAACACAGTGTGTACACGTGTCTCGAGCGAAAGCAACAACGTAAAAACAAACAAAAAAAAATCGTCAAAACATCAACCGAACGTAATTAGAGAGTTCAAAGCTAAGAGAACGCATTGTTCAGACGGGCTAGACGGGCGCATCCCTAAATATCACAAACATTGGAATGTATTTCAGTAGATCAATCATAACACTATCATCACATGAAATAATTGTTGAAGGATTTTGACGAGGTTTTCTTATAACAGTCTTAGAGCTCGTCGATTTTCAAAAAAAGAACATAAATTATTAAACGTAGGTCCCCTGGCATAAGGCTAGGTGTCTATAAAGCGTTTTTCAGGTGATTGACAAAAGTACACATCTGAACCTCACTTTTGAATTACAAGGTTTCGAGACAGCAAGATTGTTTATATATTAAACAATACAGCTCCAAAAAGATTAGTCCGCTCCCAGCAGCCAATTTGCGGCACAGAAAATAGCTCGAAAAACAAGGTGCTGGGTACGGTGCTGACGTGCAGGCCTTAAACTGTGTTCATTGACAGTCTATTATAGGTATGAAATAATCTTCGAGCAATTAGAATAACTGGATTATTATTGGAACTAATTGGCATCGAGTTTGGTCATCGAGATTACTTGAGTGTGTGATGGCGTAACATGTATAGATTACCCAAAGGCTGCAGAAAATCAATATCGAATAATCTCTTAAGGAAACAAGATTTAGAACTTGCTTTTTTCCTTGTAGCTAGTGGACCAAATTCGGCTAGTTTGGCGGCGGCCATGAGTCTTGTGGTACGAAGGAACATCAAACATCATCTCTTTTTGGACAACGGCATCCTGATGCGCACGGAAAACGTCGGCCCAGAAGCGCTTATTATGTAGTCGGAGACAGCAGGCTATATAGTGTATAAAGCTGCCCTTCAACCTGTATTATCATATATGTATATATATAAACAGAGCAAAAGGTCACCCAGCAGCCATGTCAAGCGACGCTGCACGGGGACTTAGCGCTCGGAAGTGTTTTGTATCGGACATGTAGACTATAACTATAAAGAGTGTCAGGAACATTCCGCTACCCATCCTCTGGCATAATCACAGCTATAGCATTCGAATTGACATTACTGTGTACTATTCTCAATGAGGAGTAATCAGTACCCAATGTATTTTTCTAACGCGATACTGCTTACATTAGCATAGCACGTGTGTTGAACATTCTACTTTGTCTAGTCAGTGCAGGCCACCGTGTAAGCAAGAAGCCAGGAGGAGCAGCGGCGTCCCGGAGATCGTCGTTACACTGATCTCGAGATTATACATGGATTAAGCATATTGCTTTCTCCTAAACGACCCGCTTCCTATTAGGTCCGGTTTACGTGTACGAGCAACGATAGGTTATATTGGTTAAACTGCTGCACTACATAGAGAAGTCCGAACGCCATATGCTGAAAACGATACGAAATCACACCTATAGTTTATGATTCAAAAAATCGAACTGTATTCTACCATATAGTGAAGATGAAATAATGAGTACGCACAAATAACATGGACAGATACAATTCAGTACTCATGTTCATCGTATCACATTGATTTCAGGCTTAAACAGGTCTTTTTATATGCATTGACGGAAGGATGGAGCCATATGGGCCAGAACTTTGCACAACACTATTGCTACGGGTTACCTACTACGAATATACCAGAATATTCCTCAAGGATAGGTCTTTTATATGATTCATATAGGATCATCACCATTCTCTCATTTTCGAGACTGTATCAATTGTAGCATCAGTGCTGTTGTGAAGGTGGAGTTGTCTGAGCCACCAATGATTTTGTGCGAAGAACGTATTTAAGGAAAAGTACTTTTTTTCCTAGAGTGGGCCATAATTTTAGTTAGGAAATACTTACTACCAAGTTAAGCAGGTCAAAGATTGTGTTTCATCTATCACAAATCTATATAACGTTTTGACGCCCAGTGTGAAGTCGGGTCTTGAGTGACCCAAGTACAGGCACATCGGCGAGTTGAAGGCGGAGGAATGGAGGAACAATGAAAATGTGCGCATCGCCCCTCAAAACCAGCTAGACCGCACTGAAGCCTGTGTAACAATTGTGGTTATACATTATCTTATGATGAACGATCCTTCCGGACAAAATTCTGATCAATGATTGATTATCCTCAATGTGGCGTGTACATCGGTAGTAATGTTTTCTATGATCGATGCGATATTTAAAAAAAATCGACGACTTTTCTTAAAGAAGCACCTCAGTTTTGTATATTCTTTATGACGATGACATGTAGTGCTATTCTTTAGTTCAAATTGATATATAGCCACGTATTTGCAGTTTTAATAAGTTAACTTGTACTCTGAGGCTACATTGTTCTGCTTATTTCTCTCTGAACTTTGCATCAAAAGTACTCGGCTCTATGTATGCTCGAAATGCAGCGGCCCATGCAGCTTCATTTTACTTTGGCTCATTTAACTCGCAGGATAAATTATGTAATAAAGCTCAGTTTAATGGCGTTCGTGAAACGTAGCTTGCTTTCAGTTTGGGAGTGAAAAGGTAACTTCGGGGCAGGAAATTGTGGTAAAAAAAAACCTTGCTTTTTTATCATCTAACAAATGTTTAATGAACAAATGTGCAAACAAAAAAAGTATAGAGCTCCATCTTTTGAAGTTTGGACAATGAAAAAAACTCAATAACGTAACCTGAGCAAAATTCTTGACTCGTGTGTATCTCAAAACTAAAAATTTTGACGGTAATAGAATTGTAGATAGCCATATGGCTCAGTCCAATATACAATATACACCTTCCCTTTGAAGAAGCAATCATTTTACTGTAGTTGGGATTGACACGACAAGAAAGCTTTTGCGAGAGTAAGCTGCGAAGGTTTCGTAGTATTAAAAAGTTAAAGGTAACGTAGCCTTGCTAGAAGAGGAAGTAAAATAGCTTTGTGCCCAGCACCTCTCCCACAGAGTCCTACTTTTCCCAACCCAATTAATGGACACCAAATGTTGTTATCAAGTACGATACTTACCACTTAAGTTCTGATGTAAGAATTAATTATATCAAGCACTGAACACACACACATATCCAATATAACTGAAAATCAATAAAGTTGTTTGTTTTTCGAAACAAAAAGAAAGCTTTGATACGAACGAGTAGTGAGTGATACGTACCCTAGACGGCTTCAGACAGTGGCGTACATGACTCTACGGCTTGGAAAACAGTAACAACTGCAAGTGGGATGGATTAAGCTGAAATGACTCTTCTGACATTCCAACGATCGGATAAACAATCGCTACGACGATGGTGGCTGTTTCCCTGCTTCTTTGCGTCATTCAGTCCGGCTTTCGAAGCTTCGCCTTCTGAGGATTAAGGCGCAACCAATCGGCTTTGCCGATGCGAACGCCGCTAGATTCCCGGCGTCAATTAGATAAACAGTTACTCTATGTGCCATAAAACGAGCTATTGATATATTTATGTGTCGAGTAACGACACACGTCGACGACGACGCGAGTAATATCTCTCTATACAATACGGTAGAGCAAACACGAAGCAAAATAATATTTAACGCTTGTTATTGGTACGCTTCGATTCGCATTCCTTGTAACACGTTCTGTTGCTAGCTGAAAATAAAGAATGGCAACTAACTTTATTAATAGGAATATCTGTTATATTGTTACAACAGAACACAGCTTCAGAGATAACACTGGTGAGACAGGTTCTCCCGAGGTCTATCTCATTTTAACGAAATAAGAGGCATTCCTCTTTGTAAAGCTAGAATGAGGCTCAGCTTTAGGTACGGTGGTTTAACCTTAGCATGAAACAGCTTCCCTAGAGAGATCACACTCAGCAGAACTGGAAAAATGTGAATTACGCGAATATATTAACAATGACTGTTAACATACAAGTTTAGTGTAGGCTAGTCTCCAGCCAGTTGTCGCATGGTTTTAAGTTGGGTGAGGGGTTATTTTGTACCTATTAAAAGAACGATACTGGGGCTTAATTGAATACCTCAGTCTTATAGTCCTTTGAATACATTTAAGGATGAGTGCGAAGCAGGGTACCACGCTTACCTGCTAGCCTCTATGGTGCCTTTCTTTGCTTCAACTCTGATATAGCACTGAGCCGTTGACATACATATGATACAAATGCATGAATGGTATCGTACGCCCTTGGCACTAAATAAATAAAGATATTTTTGTTATACATTTTGCAGTGGCTTTGTATTACAACAAACGCTGTACATAGCGGAGCATGCCACGATTGCTTCTTTGCGATTACATAGTATACGTATGTAACGAAGAGATAAATGCGGCAGAAAAAAATAGCTATTTTTTGGGCAGGCAAGCAGCTACAACGGTGCGTCTATCAAAAACAACGGACCACCGAGAGACGAACGTATATATGAATGAATAAGCAAAAGACTCGTGAGATTCCGGTTAGCACAGGCACAGTATTTAATTTGGATTTGTTACGGAGGACAGATGGAGGCGAAGAGAGGAACAGGGAAGCGAGTATTATCGGGTCAAGTCCATCAAGTGGAGTATGTGCTTCAAATCTAAGGTTACATGCTCCACATCGCAGGCAATCGACGACGAACAGAGAAACAGCCCTAGCCCTAAGGTTTAAAATAAATGTTGAAACAGGAGACGGGCAGTAAGGATCAGAGAGGGGTAAAGGGGCCACCTACAGGGGAATAGACAAGCAGCTTGTAATGCCTCCGTTGCTCCTTATCGCAACTTCCTTGATGGGTAAACCGGTCTGTCTCAACGGTCGGAGAGACCCGTTAAAGTGCAGTTGAGGCTGCTAAGTAGACTGTGGGCTGCTGGAGCAGCGGGAGGGGGAACAGAGGCATTCGGCGGGGTGAGGGAAGTTGTTTAGAGCTTAATCAGCCCCCGGGCTAACTATCTAACTGGGACGCGCGTAGCTTTTTACATGGTACCAGTTAGCATTAACAACTAATGCGCCCGCTCTCCGCTATACACTCCTTCGTGTCTCCATGGCTTCGCTCAAATAGACCACAAAGTGGATCTACTACTTTTGGCCTTCAGCTTTCATCCCTCCACAGTTGTAGCAGCAGAGGCAGGACCACACGCCTAGAACCAGCAGCTCCAGCAGTTGCGGGCAGGATGCCTAATAAAGGGCAATGTAGCACAAGTCCGCACGAAGACAAGGAAACGATAACAGTCCAATCAATCATTGTCGCATAACCCAAACCCTTTACTCTTTCGCTACTGTCTAGTCATTTAGTCTTGAACGCGGAATTGCAGTTTTCCACTACCAGCAGCCGCAGTATTAGCCGTAATATGGGGAAAGTCTTAACCTCTGACTTACTAAGGCACTACAGTGGGCGGACAGGTCTATCGGTAGCATGGGCTATGCATCGTTCCATTTCGCCAATGAAGCAGCTTATTCCTGAAGTCACTGTTGCTTCCTAGGTATGGCGGTCGAATTTCACAGCAAATGTGTGTGGGCTATTTTTTTTAAAGCTTCTGTTCTATTAACAGCTACACGGGTAATGACGATGCCATCGTTTTGGCTTTAAGAGCGGTTCTTGATCCTGTTTTTCTGTTAACTGATTTCGAAATACATGCAGAGGTTACTTCAATCCGTTAATAAAATTGGTAAAGCAGACCAATGTTATTATTTATCTTTGGTGGAATATTTATTTTATCACGTAAACATTATAGAGTAGATCGCAAATTAGAATTATGCGTTAGGAGCTACTTTACCAAATCAACTATAAGCCAAAATAAGACGCCATCCAAAAATCTCCCTTATAATCAAAATTTCAAAGACTACGGCAGACGGGTGAGCTATTTCAACGGTAACGAAAACGTCGGCCTTCTCTACACCAATATGAATAGGAAATAAAACGATATTAATAATCTAGAAATATATTGCTAGTTGCAATTTTAAAAAAAAGCAAAAACATCGTTTGACTATCGTTTTATTAGCAGCTTTTTTTTTACTTGTCTGCCTTTATCAGACTATCTGTGAACGACCTCAGATGTATGCTCGCAGTGATCGGCCCGACCCCCAATACACCGCCGGAATAGCAATCTTTCGCCCAAAAAGCTTGCTATCCCGCGGAGGGGAAAAAACTTTCCCTTTTTTTGAAAATTTAAAAACACTTAGTAAATTAAGCGCTTCTCTTGCTTTAAATCTACTCTGTTCAACTGGGCCTCAAAAGAAGCACAGAGGCTAAAGAGACATGAAATTGGCAAATTTATTTGATAGGGGATTGGAAAATAAAGTAGATATGTACAGAAGAGGAGCGGGGTAGGCTGTGTTCGCTTTTTTTACTATTTTTACCGAATTTTACCATTATATAGTGTGTAAGATCATGAGACCAGTTATAATAAAACCGAAGTTAGAAATCCAGACTAGATCGGAATATAGTTTTAAATTCGAATAAACATTAGGCAAGCAATTGAGAATGGTGTTGTTCATACTGTTATACAGACACACAAAGCTTACTGCTAGCCAACGTAAACAAAATTTTCAACTTACTAGTAACTGGAAAAATATTTTCTCGTTTTTATTGAATTAGAACTTCGGCATATTGTTATTTACTCAGTTTATAAGCTCAGTATGCAAGTACGGTTTATATTAATCCGGTTCAATTGCACGGTTCAGTCATATTCTTAAAGGTCATCCTAACGTTATAATTTTAGGGTCTAAAAGACTGCATAGTAGAAAAATACTAAGACAAGAAATTGTATAATGTTTTTATCCACCGAAACCCATATGCTCAAGTTATAGTTCAAACTATTAATTGATTTATGCATTGTTTTTTACTTAGTAAAATAGTTGTTGACTTTTAGTTAGCATGCAGGTGAGACGGCGATAACTGAAAAAAAGCCGACCTTATCACGAATCATTTTCTAAATAAGTGAATCGTATTACATAGTTTCTTTGATTGTTCAAAAATTGCGTCTTTTATGCGCAGGTTCTCTTAAAACACCCTTCAGCTGGTACTCATTGCCGCAAAATGCTTTTGTTGAAGTTACCTATTAGTTGACTGTCGACTAGAGAACCGTCACTGCCGTTCTCAACGGCATCTATAGGATAGCTTAAATAGGATGGCTTCAGTACAGAGGAAAATAATACAAGTCGACGATACGGAATAAGAAATTTCACGCTTTCGATAACGAAGCGTTAAAATCATACTCGAATTGTACAACTTCTGTCTACCAGATAAGTCGGACAAAAGCAGTTATTTTGTTTAGTATTTATTCATAGATATCAGCATTGTATGGAAGAAATATATGTAAGGTCGAAGGTCAGGTATGCTGTCGTGCACTATAGCCTGTACGCTTCTGAGGAACCCCAGAGCAAGCTGTGGCTTAAAAAGCTACTTACGTAAACTGAAATCATATATTGACACGCTTCAATAGAATAGCGTTGAATTCAATATTAGAAACATCGGTGTATATGGCTAGCCCATACAATAGCCGTCGTTAAGCGCACAACTGGATCAGGTATGTTTCGCACGGGTTTCAATTGAGCAACAATATGTGATTCCATCTTGACGACGAACTTATAATACCGCTCAAAAGAAATTACCCTAATAACTTGATAATTAAAACTTCCATTACTCCTCGTTTGTGCTCCCTTGGTTTGCTTATAACATATGACAGTGTATTTATCTACATTAAACAATGCATTGTTAATCTTTTCTAAACCATTCGCTTTGTTACTTAGAGGTACAATATAGTTTTTGCATTTTACTCTTTATATTATCGTAAAGTGGCGCTCTTCAAGGAGATGACTTAACTGGAATTTCCATCGAAATGGATGGAATTAGCAGCTGATCTTTCTGAAAAATTATTCGTATGTAGCTTCTCAAGTCATTCAATGAAGAGGGGATTTCATAGATAGAAGCTGTTGTCAGCGCTGTAACCAGCAAGAAACGAAGCTCTCGGCACTCCAAATGGTGTTATTTAACGAACCTGCTTTGCTACAACGGGACACTTCTAGAACAGAGCACGTTTTCACGTATCAGCATCGATAAAGCGGCGAAGGCCATGAAACGTTTTTGGGTTTGCTAACCTGCCACGCTATCGGACGGACGAAGTCGGCATAAAATCGTCTGTGCTACCAGAGTCGGCAGCCATGTCAACGGGAAAGGTCCGTGTGGCTCATGCCGCCATAGGACAGGTAGCCGCCGATGAGCGTGAACGACTCGAACAGCGACGAGCTCTCGTCGTAGCTCGTTTGAGAGGTCTTCCTACTGCGAGCGTGACAAGTACGCCAAAAAAATCCGTCCGAAAGGCGACCGTCAACTTATATCAGCCTTCGGTGTCATTGCTGAACTCCTCATTATACAACTGTCAAATGCGTATGAAGATTTCAGCCCGTGGCAGACGCATGATGCCTGCGCCAAAAGCACAGCTTACCGGACTCCATCCAATGGAGCAGTATAACGTTTGGCTAGAGTTTGTGGGTTCGTCCGGTCACCGTGAATGTTTCCGACATCCGGATAGTCCTAAATTGGGCTCATCTTGGATGCGCGATACGGTACGTTTTGACCGAGTCAAGCTCTATACATACGATGAGAACAGACGCGTTGTCCACGACGGAGCCATGCTCAAAACAAGCCAGCTGTACAGCGTTGACATGCACATCGCCCAAGTTGAGGATTCCGGTCACATGCCAAGATCGTCGCACAGGAAGCTATCGTTCGTGCAGCCTTGGTTCAGACCATTCAATGCTGGTGATCCCGAACCAAAATAATCATCCTTCAACGAAGTATCGGCGAAGGCTCTTACGTTTCTTTATAGCAGTTTAAATAGTATGACTTAAATGATGAATTCATAACCTTTCTTCTACCGCGGACTTGTGTATGATCGTTTTACGTCACATAGTCTGTTCAAGAATCGAGAATACGGATATCCTCCCTTGATTGTCGCATTACCTAGCCGCACATAATCTATATTTCCTAATTTACCAATCGATGTGTGACATGACTAATGGATGTACTATAGCAAAACCGTTTTAACTTTAAAACGTAAAAACTGACAGATCATTGCACTGTAAACGTAATGGTCTCATTGTCTTACATTGTTTAGGGAGAGGGGGGAAGGGGGCATTTGGGGATAGCAAATTTGCCCGGCGTCATAATTAAGCCACCCATAGTACCATCTTTTAAGGCTGAACACGGCTCTCTTAGTTAAAGTACACCTTACGTTTAGGTGAAGCGTATTTCGAAGCAGTAAGAATGAATAATCTCATGAGCTAAAGATGTTGGAGGGTATAAATGCTAGAATAGGATGACTAGCGTGTTCGACATACGATCGGCGTCCTATGTTTGAATGTTTTATTCTCTTTTATAGAATTTTTCTTATGTACTATACTTGCAATAAGCTAACAGGAGAAGGCCCGGGATCTCAGATACTTAACCTTGCATTGTTTAATTAGGTGTAGTTACCACTTGTAACAAGCTGACATATTCCTACTGAAATGTTTACGCTTATAAAAAAAATCCGACTATAGAGTGATAGACTTTGTGGCACTAGCCAAAGGCCAATAAAATGTTTTAGTATAATTATTACCTCACGGCAGGTTTTGTTTTTCAAAAAGCTAACTTATATTTGACCCTACATAGTAGTTACGCTGTGGTTGCCGTACGTCTTAGGGAAGTATTTAGAAACTGCTCATTATATTGATTCGGATTCTGAGTGTGGGGAAGTTGCCGGGGAAGTTGCCGAAAGCAGTTAATGAGGCTATCGACTCGTCATTATCTTGACGTTCGTCGCTAACGCAAGCACTATGCTGATAACTGATTTCTGTGTCGCCAACGGCGTTGAACGTGTAGAGTTGACAATTCAACGCTTTGTACTGAAGTTGTAACTGGCTCTGTCCTTTTCCATGGAAAATAGAAGATTTTCCTCATACCATGATTTCCTTGCGTGCGTTTCATCGTCTCTGTACATTTTTTGCTCGTACGCTCTTCAAGTGATATACAGACGCTGGATAAGGTTTGGCCGTCTTCTGTACTGACAGAACCACGACGCTGTTAATGGCGACGAGGCGACTGATGGCTCCTGTGCAGGCAGCGGGAGCAGGAGGGGGAACACATGTCCAATTTATATTCGCAGACTTCTTCTCGAACGACGGGTAATACTATTATTATCACTAGTGCTATAGCTAGGACGGCGTCCCATACCATGGCACAGCGCATAGTCCTGTAGCTACCAAAAGCGTCGATGTTCCTTCATCTGAAACGCGTCATCCGTCAAGCCCGAAAAAAGAAGTAGGCGGCAAAGAGGGCAATGCTATGGGACTGAGCGAATGCAACATAATTCGGAAACGCTCGGATGTCCCCCGCCACTCTTCAGAAAGCTACAATTTTCTATGACTGCGTGAAAAACATTTGTCTTGGTTGCTTACAATTTTGCCAGTTTTCTCTCATTTTGAGAACAACGATGCCCTCTGAGTTACTGGTCGGGCAACGACGTTATCCCTAACTCGATTGCACGCCATCATATTATGCCGGCGCGTCTGATATATTACACAGTAATGGGATGAAGTGTTTAAGGGATTAGGGTAAAAAATGTTAAATCTTAAATGTGGCCCATCATCTTACTTAACCCCCAATACTGCTTCTCAGACCGTAACTTAATTTCCATAAGTTGATGGACTGTAATGATACTGCAGGTTGAGAACAGTTTAGGGTAACGACAGGATGGTTCAAATGTCTTTTTGCAAATGTTACGTATTGCGTTTCATTAAAAATATACATTGGGCCTTTTTCTAGATGTGGGAAACTAAGTTTTTATTATTATTTAATAGTTCATTCATTTCTTGAAGGAAAGCATGTAGTTGCCTATAATATCATTTTCGCCTAGGTACATAGTAATGAGAAATGCTGCTTTATATTAACAAATATTGAATAAGCGTAATAGAGAACATCGGTGTGAGTGATCTTTGGACTAATACCAAACATCGAACCGTTAGACATTTTGCGTGCGGTATAGGTGCAACCTCACACGAACTTGTTGCTACTTTAAAAGATAGAGCTTAGCAAAAATAGATGAAGCGTTAGTGTGTGAAATATTTAGAATGAAACACGTAGATGGGAGATCCCAATATCGTGAAAAATTTCTATTATTTCGAATTATATATATATATATATATATATATATATATATATGTCGGCTTTACGTATTACCGCAACTCAACTCTCACCTTGCACAATGTGACCACTGATAAGAAACAGGTATAGGACGATGGCAGAGCGACCTACGAACTACATAATTTATTTGACCCCTTCTTGCGAATGCTTCGTGCCATTGCACACACGCGTCTAAGTAAATGTTACAACCCCGAGGAACACGCTGGACACGCACTCATAAAGAAGCAGTGTACTGTTCGTCATTTGCTTTGATATACCATGAATATAGTATTCTGTCGTCATTCCCTTTAATGACATGATCGCCGCCCGTGTTGTTATCGTCTGTATTGTTTTCTTGCACTCGTCCCTCACCTCAACCGTTTTCGTCAACTGCTTCTCTACCCATTAGGATAATTACGACTAACCAAGTAAAATAAGAACGTGCTGTAGCATACGCATAAAGCAATGCCTCATGAGACATGTGTGAGCCTGAGATAACCGTTCTTGCATGAGGTACTGCGCACCGCTAGAAACGAATTCTCTCTTCGCCTGCCTTGTCAGCCTTGGGCTCGCACTCATCGCGGTGCATGCTTAAGCTAACGACACGAGCCTTTCAGGGGCGATCCACGCTGTGGAAAAACAGCCTCCACACCACCCATGTACTGCACTAAGCGAGTGTAAATTGGTACGCTCCGACTGGACGGAACGTCCTCCCCTACCGAAGGATTCAATGAGACTGCGCATATATATAAATGTACCTATATATGTGACTCGAGTTGGCCGAGGAAGCACCGAACGTTCTCGGATCGGCTAGCTGATTAGATCAAATAAGTAAGTGACAAAAAGATTTTTGCTCTCGGTGAGAAGGACGTATGGAGGTACGTTGACCGAACGCGCTTTCAGCCACGTGAGAATAAACGACATGGGATTCGAAGACAGTGGAATGATTTTCCGATGGTATCTATGCACGAGATGGTGCACGACGCAGCTCTAAATGGAAGGAAAATGAATTGATTATTTAACTATAATAAATGTGATGAGCTACTATGATGTAAATCTTATTTGTTCTTATTTAATAGATACCACATCCTGTTCTTCTTAGCCAGTAGTACTTAACAAGGCTTGCGCGTATCTTTTAGTTCTACTTCGTGTTCTAAGATCGAGCAAAAATAAAGTGAACAAAACCTCTAACTTATCCAGCGCTTAATGTCGTGGCCATTCTTACAGTGAAATATCAAATTTTTTGTGTCAACACAGGCAGAAGTTTCTGCATAGCTTGTTACCTATTAAAATGATGTTACTTCGTGTCAGATCCCGCTGATGTCGGATACAACGCAATCCAACACCGAGTAATAATTATTGTAAAGACCACTTAGTTATTGGAAAATACCCCTAAAAGTGTTTTATTTTATGGGGCTTGAATTCCGTAAGCACATCACTATCTGATCTGATTTGATTTATTGCCCTGTCAAAATGCGCCCCTACCTGTTATTATCTCGATTTTTAAGGCTCTATCTTGAAAATAGTTTTCTTTTACCTCTACAGTTGTCTTACTAAATATGTGATTATACCTATTATACCTAAGTCGATAGACAACAATAAAGAAGAGAACGGCGGCTTCTGAGAATGTGGACAGAGGTTAGTTACTGACTACTCATTGTAAAAAAAATAACTTCTAATCAGATCTTCGGCTTTGGTTTGACACCACTCAGACTGTTGTATTATGGTTTAACTAGTAATAGTAGAGAAATTCTATTAAAATAATTAACAAGTTAGTCGTTTTTTGAAAATAGATAATTGAATGTAATGGTATCCGGCTGCCCCGACAAAAGGACGTGGCAGACCGGCACAAGAGCCGAAGGTCTCAGCTTAGCTGCCTACATTATGTTTAGGATTCTTTCGAGTGGCTCTTATTATCAATTTACAGCGCAGTTATACTAACTGATAGCTATAAATTAGAGCACTGCAAACACAGTTTTGCCCTTTAGCTAACAGTACATATTATAAAATTAAACCTAATTTGCCTCAATCTGTTATTCTATATTTTCTTTTCTTAGAATAATATGTTCTAAGCTTTCCTGCTGGTGCAATAGCGCTAATAGAGTGCTTAAAGGTGCGTGTATTCATGCTATGCAATGCCCTGTTTCTGGCAAGAACGTATTCGGCACATATTTGAAAACCTTAAAAGTCCTTATTTATCTCACTTCGGCAAACATTTTCGACGACACTTGTCTTCCCTTTTTTTTTTTTATCATGATACTCAGCCAACTGAAGAAAGCGAATAATATTGCTCCGTTTTGATGACGCGGCCAGCCGATTTACAATATGGACTATTTTCACAAGGTCCGCTTACTTTCATTTAAGTTTGTCGTTGCCTCGAGTTCGGGAAAGTCGATACTGAAAACTGGGCTGGCGGCCGTTCCTTCAGACCCGACCGATTTTTCTTCCTCTCTCACTGTCTACCTTCGTCGAGGAGCTCCGCTTCATTGAGCGATCACGTTACGTTGATCCTACCCTGCCGTGTAGTTTTTTCAACAAAGTTGTATAGCTATCATAAACTAAGTCGTAGAGTGAATTCGCTGGTGGCTGGTTCATTGGTGGTGGCAGACGCACGGGTCTGAGTGCACGTCTAGGAAAAAAGCCGGGCTACATTATGTAAATCTCAATAGGTCCCGTATAACAATGTGTCTCCTACCGCCGATGCTAGCAATACTTTTAGCTACCGATGCCTCACTTCGTTCGTTTCAACCCACTACCCTACACACCCCGAAAGACACGAGCGGGCTCGCATGGCTGGCTGGGTGCCTGTCTGCCTCATACACAATTGCATAGCTGCACACCGAAGATAGCAGAAGCGAGAACGACGAAGATATAAATAGCCTACTTACATGCTTCAAAAAGAGGGGGTTTAGATCGGCAACGGCGAGACAGTGAAACGCTAGGGAACGATTCGGAAGAGGGCTATGAAGTAAATGGTCCTTTGTTATGTATTAAAATTCGATTTTCAAAATCAGTTGAGTATCAGCATTGAGTACAGTTTGATTAGCAACGAGAAGCGTTAGACCTAAATGGGAATGATATCGAAAGGGCAAACTGCGCACACAACTTATAAATTATGACTATCTAATAGAAAAGTACGATGATTGTGAACTTGGCAACGTGACGTTAGAAGGAAATGACGTACGAAATAGCTTTCTTAAGCGAACGTACGTATTGCAATAAAAAAAGCTAACTTCTCAACCGTTCTTGTGTGAAGGGACTAATTAGACGGACGAAATCCACTTAAGTGTGTGTCACTCACGCGAATAAACTAAATCGTGACTGCTATTCATTACAGCCCCGAATTTCTACAGTTTTAAGTATAGTTAGTCTAAAACGAAGTGCGTCGTCCTACCGGGTCTGTCCGTCCTGTTTACTAACACAAAATAACTACCACCACGTATAGCTCAGTGTCTCCT